ATGGCCACTAAATTACCACTTACTGTATAATTATAGAGGCGAAAAGTCAGGTGGAAGGTTTGACAAAGGAAAAGATTTTGTTGTACAGCTTGTCTATCACCTTTGTTAAAAGCGGTAATAATAACTTTGTTAGTTACAAATAACCAATAGAGTGTTAGGTCCAAGGACCACCTAGAGTAACACTTGGATTAACTTGTGACTCAGCAGGAGGAATGAGGAAATGAGAGAGTAAATGAAGGGGCAGTGACAGCAGCAGTGTGCCGCTTGTGGTTGTTTAGTAGTCTGTGGCCTGCATTCCTCTGTGGGATCATCTGAAAGCAACATGTAGCTTGAGTAAAGAAAACACACGCTCTTCATAGCAGCAGTGACAGTGTGTAAATAGTGCCTGCAATGAATGTGTTGGCTGTTTAAATATGCCAAATGAAATGTGATAAATTTTCATTTATGTTTGTGGTGTATAAATGTTTAAAATGGGCCTAAACCAGTAACAAACAAAAATGTTGACATTTTGGGAATAAAGATGAATAAAAAATAAGCACAAGGATAATAAATTATCTGCAAGTTTATGAACAAAGTGGAAATATTTATCTATTTGTGCTTCTCAGGCAACTATGAGATGGTGAGTTTGCTACTGGCACGAGGCGCTGACCCCTTATCAAAGAACCATGGTGGAAACGCCCTTACATCATCCCTCTATGAGGACATGAACTGCTTCAGTCATGCTGCTGCACATGGACACAGGTATGTATCCCCCAGTCTGAAAACTAGTACTGGAAGACCAGCTGTAAACATTTGCACACGTAGCACAGAAATAATGCATCTGTCAGCTTTATATTACACATGACTAGAGTTAGAGTTTGTGCTGTGAGGATAGATTCAAACGTTTTATCGTGTGATTTAGGAAGAGCTTGAAGGTTTTGTAGTGTGAAAGGAAAGTTTAAGGTGTCATTCTATTCAGAGTCAATTTGTTTCTGAAGACCAGCTGGTGGTGTAAACTTCTCCACCTGTTCACTCTGTCTGTGTGAACACGATGTAGACTCAACACTTTACATTGCTCAGTGAGGGTGATAGATTACGTAATGAGAGAGGAGACTCCAGGGTTGCAGAATTGGAAGTACGTGTTGCCATTTTGGCAGATATTAATGATCCTCCACCTTCTAACTTTCTTTTCTTGTTTCCTTCCTTGCATGCCCTTTCTGCCCTCGTTCTACTCCCTATTTATCTTGTCAGGAACGTGCTGAGAAAGCTACTGACTCAGCCGCAGCAAGTCAAAGACGATGTCCTGTCTCTGGAGGAGATCCTGGCTGAGGGGGTTGAAGATGAGACGGCTGGGATCTGCCCTTTCGTCCATCTTTCCCCTCTTCCTAACTCTTCCAATGGTCCCCTGCCGATGCCAGAAGTGGGCATACCAAGGCTCTGCAAAGCCAGGATGAAGGCTCTCCAAGAGGCCAGCTACTACAGCGCCGAGCATGGCTACCTGGACGTCACCATGGAGCTGCATGCTATGGGTACTTTTCAAATGGCAAGAAGAGGATGTGCCTACTTTTCCAGTTTATAGAACCAAATAATAAATCCTTTCTATTTAACCAGGCGTGCCATGGAAACTACACGTGTGGCTGGAATCTCTTCGCTGCGCCCAGCAGCAGTCCAGGACAGGGGTCACCCTCTCCCTCCTCAAAGACTTTAACACAATCAAAGAGGAGGACTACTGTGAGGAACTGGTCACCACAGGCCTGCCCCTTATGTTCAATATTTTGCGCACCACAAAGGTACAGTCAAACACGATCATGAGTATGATTTTCACACTTTTTCAGTATTAAACAGATTTAATTATACATTTCTCTTCTTCTCGTTCTATTACTTTCCTTCAGAGTGACGCCATTACACAGCAGTTGGCAGCTATTTTTAGTCACTGTTTTGGCCCAGCACCCCTCCCAGCCATCCCTGAGATGAAGGCAACTCTTTCAGCACAGTTGGGTAAGGAAACTATGATCCTTTAGAGTATATGGATATACATGCTCAGAGTTCCAAGAGGATAGCCTTTTACTGGCACCGATTTCAGTATTGGCTAGTGATAATTAGTCATTTTGACATCTAAAACACCAGTAAATCCTTAAATACAGTTTTCTTAAGCCTAAAGTCACTGTCAACAGATTCCTTATACAGTGATACAAACCCTGAAACAACACAAATGTAACACTTGGGCTGTAAATTAGATTTTTTTTCATGAATATTAGTTAGTAAAAGAGTGTCTGATATATTTGTTTTGGTAATCTTATCAGCAGTAATGTGTACAGAATGACTCTGCTGTTACTAGAACGTTATGGGTTTTATGCATGTGCTGATGTTTTTCTACAGACCCACACTTTCTGAATAACCAAGAGATGTCAGATGTGACATTTGTGGTTGAGGGAAAACCATTCTACGCACACAGAGTGCTTCTGGTTACTGCCTCTGACCGGTGAGTGCAGAAAGGTACAAGAGTGCATTTTAAGGCTTTTGATAAGACCTTACTTAAAGGGTTTTATTTTGCTCTAGATTCAAGTCTTTGCTGGCATCATATGGATCAGATGGAAGCTCCGATAAGGAGATTGAGATCAGCGATGTCAAGTACAACATATTTCAGGTAAGAAACACATTCCCTATTTAGATGTGTTGCATATGACAAAACAGACATTATTTAGATCAAATTGCTCATAAAGAAACCTCTGTACAGATGATGATGTCATACCTGTATTGTGGAGGAACTGAGTCACTGAAAAAGAAGGTGTCTGACTTACTAGAGGTAAGAATTGTTAATCGCATTAATCTGTCTCAGGGTTGGTATCTTAGAAATCCCAGCTTTAGTTCTACATCTTCACATGAATTACTCATTCTTGCTGACAGTGGAGATTGTTCTTTTTTTGTTTTGTTTTTTTATTTGAGTTTAGCTACAAGCTTGACATAGACAAGTTTGTGTTCATAGCAACAATTGAGCTCAATCGTCCCGTCTGGCCAATCCTTTCTAAGCATGAAGCTGTTACTTTGATTTTGAAATATAGTACCCTTATCACAAGTACACAAGCTGGGCTTTCAAATATGTCCTGTGTTTTTGTGCATTTATCAATTTAAAAATCGTTTTCTCTTCATTTTTTCATTAGTTTTTTATCAACAATTCGTAGCTTCTTGAACTGAAAACAAAGGAAAATTCCAAATACATGTTACACAAAGTTAAATATTGCTTGTATGCAAACAGAATGAAAGGATGCATGACATTATTTTTCCTCCATTAAAGTGGTCATGTTTTCTCCTGCAGCTGTTGTCAGCTGCTAGTTTGTTCCAGTTGGGGGCGCTACAGAGACATTGTGAACTCATCTGCTCTCAACATATCAGCCTAGATAATGCAGTCAGCATCTACAAAACTGCTAAGGTAACAATTACTGGTAGACTTGGATTGCACTACTGTGAGTGCAGTACATATGTATACATCAGTGCTATTTCAGGCATGAAAATATGACGTTGATATAAAAGTTGTTTTGATCATTTAGGTTTACATAAATTAGGTTTATAAAATTTGGTCATTTCACTGTCCTTTCTTCTGTCAGGTTAATGGTTCGGTGGAGCTGAGCTCGTTGTGTGAAGGTTACTTCTTGCAGCAGATGCCTGCCCTGCTGGAAAGAGAGAGTTTTAGGAGCTTGCTGTTGGGACCCCCGGGGGCCCGACAAGGAAACAACTCCACTTCTACGCTGACGCACAGCCGGGGTGACTCACTTGTGGAGGAGCTGGAGACCACCCTGGCTCGACGACTTCGCTCTCTCTACGTCACTTCCCGTGTCTGAAGACAACATGGCAGATGCTGCTGAGAGAGGACAGAAATAAGTGGATAAATGTGGCAATTAAGAAGTCTCACCTTTTCACTGATACAGAATCAGATCTGAAGTGTTTCAAATACAGAAGTTTTCTTGGTAAAATCTGATTTGTGTGTGTTAAGGAGCAATATTTTGACACGGGCACAGATTGGTGAGATGCCTGGCAGTGATTTACTCTGTGGGCAACTCGGCATTTCATACTTTGTGCCAAGCACTCCATGAAAATGTTTTTTGTGACGTACAGCGTTCCGAAGAAGAAAATATGCCTTTTCTCCAGGGCTCACGAGGCTTTACTGGACAAGCAACAAGTTGAAAGTCTGAATAATAAGACAATGCTGCCCTCTAATGGACAAAGCTTGCAACATAAATAATTGCCCTGGAGGATTGGGATCAGTGGCAGCCTCAGTTTTGACTGAAGCAATGTAAAGTGATTACAGACTGAAGCCTTTATTGAAGAATTGAGTGAGGTGGCCTTTTGATGCTGGACTTTAAACTTTCTGTTCTATAGTATTGCATAGTGGGAGCAAGGCTGCAGCCTTAAACTCCCTGCATCAATGTAAGCTTTGGATTAACAAATCTACTTTTTTAATGTAAAAGCTTTTATTGTCTGTTTGTTTTTGTTAAGTACGATGAGAGTAATGAAAATTTCAGAAGAGTGGGATGGACATTTTCTATTTAATGAGGAAAAAGATGAGTATTTAACGGGGTGTCCCCTTTTTTATTTTAATCAAAGCAGATTATTAGTATGGAAAAAATGCTTCTGCTGTTTTACCAGGTACGCTCTAACAGTTTATTAAGCTTGTGTATGCTGAGGTTTAATGCTTCGACACAGGTACAGCTGCGGAGGCTAACATGGGATTTGGACGACAAGAGTCTGTTTTTGTGCTGGATACATTATTAAACCTGGTAAACAAATCATTTAATGTGTGAATTGTTTTGGACTCACCTGGAATCGGGGAAAACGGCAGATTTACAAATGAGGAAGCCTACAAAATGGAAATAATTACATATGAAATACAATCTTACCACAAATCCATGGCATGTGACATAATGAGGGGGGGGAAAAAAATCTACTGCATATGAAACCTTTTTCCTCTCTGGTCTACACTTACCCTTGCTTGCACAGGTAGAAATAAGGATAACAAACACACCATAACTGAATGAGTTTATTTGTTTCAGCACTGAAGATGCTCACAGTTATGTTTTATGGGGATTACAGTCAGTTTTGCTCCTGCTCTGTCAAAAGACCCATGTAGGCCTCTGAATCATTAGATATCCTTAGTGCTGCTAGCTTCCCATTGTAGAAAACAGAAAGGAGGGCGCATATCAGGGTATTGCTTTGTGTTTGTAGTACTGGTATCCCCTCCCTGTGCCTCTACTACTAACGGGTAGAGAGCCCAGACCTCAGAGCCTTCCAGAGAGAGGTACAGAGTTGAGGAAGCATCCTTCAAAAACTTTGTGCACAAGATAAGGAGGAGGAGGAGGAGGACGAAGGGAAAGATCAGCAGGGCCAAGGGAACAATTTAAAAGGAAAAAAAAGAGCCAGAAATAAAAGCAGAAAAGGTGGGAAAGTAAGGGACAGACAGAAGGGGAATTTAAATTTTAAAAGGTAGTTTTGTGGAAAGAGAAGTGATGAAGGCTGAGAGAAGGAGTGAGTTTGGCATGGAACATTAACACTAAAGCCATGCAAAGAAAAGCTCATGTTTTGACATGCACACAGCAATACAAGCTAAAAGCACAGAGCAGGAATCCCCAGCATTGTTGAGAAAACAATCAACCCCCACGGTTTGTCTGTCTATTTACAAAGAGAAGAAGCAGATCAGGATCTGTGGTGTTCTTCTCCTCCAGCCTGGCCTACACGCACAATAATATGAAACTGACAAATATCAATAGAAGAGCATATTCCCTCTCCAAAAAGAGGCTAAGTCTACATTCTTAAATTACTGGTAAATCATTTTTTTCCAAGAGTTCCCACAAGTTCTCTTTCCCTCTGCAGAGAGAGCATGGAAAAGAGAATTTATGACTTGTCAAAGTTCACATAATTCAGTTAAAGTCAGACCAAAGCAAAGGAAATAAAAGTTCTTTTTTTTTCTTTAAATGTCCCATTTACGAACACACAAGAGGGTAATAAATAACATTCAACTGACCTAACAGCTTTGTTCATATAAATAGCCAAGATATAATAAATTAGGAAATCAAACAGTGAGATGAACAAACATGAATAAATAAGGACAACAATACAAAAATATCCACAGTTGCATTTATCACGTCATTTTTTCGTTTGTTTCTCTACTCCTACTGCTGGTAAGTGAGACTAGAGAGAGGTATAAATGAAAAGCAAAGAAGAAATGCTGCAGATAATAGGAAACAGGAATGTCTGGATCATTATTGGGTCAATCAAACAAAGACGTACATGATCATGTAACAAAAATACACAGAATTTAAAATGACAGTAAGTGGCAGGCTCAGGTTTACCAACCTGTTCCTATGGTATCTAAACAGTGTCACAACTAGACATTTCTTTTTTTTTTCTTTTTTTACATAAGAAATGATATCAGTCTGTACAACAGAATAGATCATTCATTTTAAATACCCGAATATCCACCCACTTCCCTCCCCCCACCCTATACTATCATTTAATATCTCCCGCTGCCCTGTTCTTCTCGCACCCAACTCCTCTCTGAAAACACAATTCCAGTCTGTTTTGCAGCAATAGTATTAAGTCTAATAAAGTCAGTTAGTATTTCAAACCCAGTTCTTCACAAAGAAAGTACATTATAATAAAAAGCAAACAAATACAATCCAGCAAGCATCCGTGTCGGCTGTTTGGGCTTTCCACAAAACTCCTCTCCCTTCTCTCCTCCTCGTGTTTCTGCATGGTGTCTTCTTTTTTTTAAAATGTTGTTCATCATTGTTGATACATCCCAGAGTTTTTGTGCATACTGGATCTGTGCGTGTATGTTTTGTGTATGTGGCGTCTGTAGTGTTTTTGAATAATGCTCGTTTTCCAATTAGCAAATGCTCCTTGAGGTCAGAGAACGGTGATAGCTGGTGAGGGGAGCGAGTGGTCTTGTTTTTATTGGGATGTGTGTGCTTGTGTGTTTCTAAGAACAAGAACACTACAGGATTTTTTTTTTTGTCTACTTCTACTGATGGCTGCCAGGGGTGGAGTCGGGGTGCAGAGGAAGATGAAGGTAGAAGTCTGCATGAAGGGTCTGTTTCCATGGTAACCCCTCCCCCAGCACACCGCTATAAGAAGAGTCCTCCGTCAACAATTGTCCGTCTCTCTTGGCACGCTGGAGGGGTGTGGAGGGGTGGTCGAGGGAGGGCGAATGGAGCAGGGAGCAGGAGGATGGACTTTAATAGGTTTTCTGGATAATTCCTGGTATCAGAAACAAGTCAGGTCATCACACAGGTTAGCAGCAGCATGGGAGCAAACAACTGAGGCCCACAGGTGATTAGATGGTTAGGGTACAGGAGTGGTAATGATGGTGGACACTGAGGGGTAATGGAAAGGGGAGTGGAATGGCAAGGGTGTGTGTCTGTTGTGTTGGTGCAACATGTTGTTTGCAAAATATCACTTTGATTCTTTTAATATATTTCTATCTATATAAAGTCATTTTATAGAAAAGATGTCCATAAATGATTTATATATATATATCTAGCTATGTACAGATAGCATATTCTCTCTGTGTCTCTGGCTTAAAGTGATACTGGGATGGCTACAAAGCACCACGGTCTAAGATTCCTCTGGTGTCCCCACAGATGCCACCGACAAGTGGGCTCTGTCTCGGCCTGCAGCAGGGAATTTGGTGTCATTATTTTCTGGGTCATGCCTCCGGACGTGCATGGGTGAGGGGCAGTGCTTGGAGGGCGTGCCAGGGGGGTAGGGCACCTGTCCATTCTTCTCGTCTGAAAAAAGTTGTTTAATTACGTCAAAGAAGTTACTCAATGGGCTGCCTAGGTACACAGATGGGAAGAAAAGAGGACAAAAAAGGGGGGAAAGAGAGAAGACAGAAGAAACAAACTAATGAACAATGGGGTTCACAGGATAGAGAGATGGCTACATATAAGGCAGAGCGAGCAGAGGTGAGGAGGTGGTAGACCCACGTACACTGTGCAAGGATGAGAACTGCCGAAGCAGCCGTGTTTAGACCACATAATGCATTAGCCTCGGCAAATCATGCATACGTTTCAGCGCAATCCACGGAAAAAAACACAAGTGCCCATTAAGTCGATATAGTGACCAGTGTGTCTGAACGAGTTTGGCTGGCCAGAAGCAGGACAGACAAGATGATAGAAGCGAAAAATGAGAAAGCGTGGAAATTCAAGAAAACACTTCCTGTCAAAGAAGCATTACTGCTCCCCCTGAAACATAAAAAGTCTTGGAAACCTGTCCTCCAGCATCAAACGTCTGACACATCCTCAATGTAGGTGTGTCAGACGTTTGGTTTGACATACTAATCATGAGTCGTGTTTTTGCCAGCTAGAAGCTGGCAAGCTTTTTATTTTTCCTTCAACCTCAAGGAAACAGCATCACTTTTAGACTACTGTAATTCCCTCTACAGGGACCACATCCAAAAAAACATCTCTGATTGTTTAAACTTAGCTGTCAGATTTCTAACAGATTCAGAGAAGTTACTTCCATCCATGCTACACCACACTAGCCACCTGTTATACACAGAATTGGCCTTAAACTTAAATTTCATTCATTTTATTTTTAAATACTTATACAACCTCAGTCCCATCTCCATTACAGACATACACACACCTTATGAACCTGCCCACTCCTCATGACAGAGCCTTCCGAATTACATAGAGTTCTGTATCCATTTCCTCCTTACCAGAGGAAATTAGATTTGGAAGTGTCTACTTTTAAATCACTCCTCAAATTTTACTTCATTGTAAACTATTTATGCTGTATTCTCTAATACACAATTTTACTGTGTTTTGATATCATAACCATAGCACTGAAGGGCAACATAGACTTCTCATTAGTGAGGCAGTCTACCTTGTGGTAATTGTTCATAGTGACATACATAACACAGTAAGAGACCTGAATGGACCTCAGAAAGAGGAAACACGTGCAGTGTGTGTACGTATGGACAACAGTACGCATGCATATAAGCATTAAGTACACCAAACATAAGAAATGAAGCAAAGAGGTGATGGTCCGCATAAGCGTGACTGATCAGTCACAAACAAGACTGTTTCTGACTTCTTTGCAGTCCAAGCAAACAGTTATAGCATCAGTAAAAAAAGAAAAAACAGACTGATGAGCTACACGGACAATAAACCGCACAAACATGCTGCGTCTACACATCAGCAAAATGTAGATTATAAAATAGAATTTCTTGAGGTAAAACATTCTGTTATCAGTCTGTATGTACTTCCAGTATGATGACTGCCTGCAGTATTGTGTAAATTAGAAAATTTGTCATATACGGATTAATGAGCAATTGCATGCAAGTGCACATGTGAGAAGGCCAGTAGTAGTTTCTACTGATCCATTATCCTGCAGGAATGTGGCTGTAGCTAACTTCTTCCCCATGTTTATACTTCTAATTCCACATTAGTCAATTAACTCTTTCCCAATCCGGATTGGGAATCCGTGTTTTGAAAAGACTACAACAGACCACATAATATTGCCTTTTCTCAAAAGCATCTTTATCTGAATGAATATACCTACATTTTACTTCCTGCATTCCTCCATACTTTAACTCTTCATAAGTACAGGTCTCAGAAATGCTGTCATCACTAGTGATTAGGGGCATTAATAACCAGGTTTTGACAAAGCCCTTTGACACAATGTTATGCAAATCAATTTCTATTCTTAATTACAGTCACTGACTTTTATTTTTAAATCCCTTTTGTTCACGTACTACTAGAGGTGTGTAAGTGGGTCAAAGTAAATAGAGAGGAGGAGAATAAGATTGTTTTCATGCTGATTGCTTCTCAGCGTGATGCCGTAAAGACATTAATTCATTCAACTAGCCTTTGTCAAAAATAACTTACTTTGACTTTTAATACCAACTGTATCATCTCGGACAACACAAACTAAAAGTAGTGTACTTTTCAGTATCTATCCATCTATTGCTTTAAGCGGTTCTCATATTATACTCCAACAATGTCATCTCTCCTACAGAGACGGCCCACTACGTCAAAACCCCCACCACCATTAAAACCTAATCTAATGTAACTTATTGTAATTTTACCCTTCCCACACCTCAGCCTGGTAATGAGCTGCACGATATAAAAAGATCAAAAATAATTGGTAAACTTACTGAGGCACAGCAATGATAACAGACTGTTAAATATCATAACAGCTGTCATGACTGCTGTTCATTTCTGAGTGCCAATGAGAGTAATTTTGCGTAAAAGAGACAGGGCAAAGACACAGCTCACACTTAAAAAACTGTAGTGGGACATGCTACCAAGACCTGGCATGGAACTGGAAATGAGTTTAAGAGGACAGAGAAAGACGCAGACACAGTTCACAACTGGTAACGTTTCCTCCTGATGTTGTTTACTTGTCTGGCCAGCAGATAGAGCTCTTGGATGGCAAGTGAGATGCACACAGCTCACAATGATTCAAAAGAGTCAACATGTTAAGAGCAGAAAGGGGTGAGTCGGAGCCCTATGACTCTTCATCATCCAGACTTCACTTTTATGAAATAGTATCGAGCCAAAATGGCACAAAAAACGTGCTTACATCTGCTGAAACTGTCACCTCTGAAACTACTGAAAAGATGAGAGAAGAAAGAGAGACTAATATCATCAAGTTCACATGTGAATGGCTGGGTGATGATGATTGTTGACCTCAGAGGTGTTTGTACCTTGCTTTTAGCGGTGGACTGGTGAACATACAGAGAGTGAAAGCGCACGGGATGCCTAGAGAGCGCACTTATCAGGTGTGGTGTCGCTATTTGGCGCAGTGCAATGTGGGAGTGCGTTAAGGGGCAGAGGTGTTGCCATGGTGACAGGCTCCAGTGATCAGTCTTGAAAGTAGGAGTAACAGAATGCGAATCGGCTTACCCTACCTCTACTCTAATCTTCACTGCCAGTGGGCAGAGAGACAACATTTGACCCGCAGTCGGTGCTTGAGAGCAGCTCCCACCCTTTCATAGCAGTGAGGCACGGGCATGCAAAGGAAGCCGATTGGAGAAGCAGAGAGTGGCTTGAGGATTTCAAGCATACTGAGAAGACGGGTTGGATTTAGCTTAGCTATAGCGGCGAGTGTAGCTCATCAAGGGGCGGGATGGGCAGATGAGGCGGTAGGGGAATGGGTGGAGAGGTTTTGGTAAAGGTTTGGAATTTCTTTTTTTTAAATATTTTTTTGAAAAGGAATTCTTACTCACCGGAAAGCTGTTGGACCCCAGGCTGATCGTGTGTGCTCAACAACTGGCTCTGAATCGTCTCCACTACTCGTTTAAAGCGTCGGCTGGGTCCTTCACAGAGACATAGATAAACACATGAATGCTGACATAGTAGACCTTTCATGGAAAACACTTACAGTTGTCTTGGTAGGTAAAGCAAAAGTAGCATAAATGATGTCTCTATTCCATTAAGCGTGTGAGCAAACCATGATAGTAAACCAGAATGCACGAAAGCGGCACTTCTACGAGTTCAATGCTGCCATCAATAGATCTATTCTCTTCTGTGACAAGTCATGGGTGCTTTTCACTATGCTAACTTTTGCTTCCTTGCCTCCAACTCTCCTACAGTGACTTGAAAATCATCGCCCCTTACATGCACCACAATGAGACAAGAAACAAGGAAGTTTCTGGAAAGGATTAATATTCATTTTGGTGTGATATATAGACAAACACATCAAATGCAACTGATGATAAGAATGTGCCCATACTTGCATATGTCTTGTGCATACCTACTGAGAAGACCTACAACACGTGATGGAGGGAGGGGGCATGTTATTATACTGAAAAACCCCTAAAAAGTCTGTTCAGGGATACAGAGTATCAGCAGCATGAAGGCACACAGCAGAACTTGTACAAATATATTGCAATAACCAAATAGATTTAAAGGTACTGGTTTTTGAAGGCAAAGCAAACAGGGATATGGACGTGGTGCAAAATGTGAGGTGGAAAACTGCAGAAAGCCTGAGATTATAAATGGGGGCCAGAGATGAGTGCTGCTGAGAGCTCCTGCTGTCTACCTGTTGTGTACAGTATACGGTCAGTGACATGAAGAACTGGCTTCTATTACAGCCCATTCAGCTCAGCTGTGCCCCCATTTATGTGAAACAGAAAGAGGAGAGTAAAAGAGAGCATGCAGGTGTTTGTGCAGAACTAAGCATTAACACACGTTTCAGTGTGGGATTGTGCATAGTTTGACTTCAGTTTGCTAAATCTTATCAAGAATTCAGGATTTTAAAAAAATTATGTTTTTCATTAAGTTTAACACACCAACATGCTTTCGGGGAAAAAAAAGACTTCAGGCTTGTTTGTTTGTTGAATATACATGACTCCATTAGTTTAAAGTGTGACATTCAAAGTGTTTCACTTGTCATTTGTGAGCTTGAATTTAAGGCTAATGAGATGGAGAGCCAGCTGCTCAAATGCCATAATAATACATGCATGTCTGTCCTCTGTGATCGGTTGAGATCCTTGGTTTGAACTTGACCCTTTCTTTCTTGGATTCCAGCTTTAAGTACAGAAGGAAGACTTGGTGTATTAAATTTTTAGAGAACTAATTCCTCCCTTGTATGCAACACAGTGTCTTTCAATACTGTTACAACACCTTCTCCATTGATTTTCAGTTCCACTGTTACACCGTTTGCATCTACTCGAATCTCAAACAGTGAAGACACATGTAGGTCAAACTTCAAGTGCCCACAGATGATGTAAACTGAGACAAGTGTTAGTTCACACAAGCCACAAAGTTAAACCTAGTCTGCAATTCTGACAGGTCAGCTCGTATCAGTTCCAGCCCACCATCGGCTGATTGTTCACATGACAGTCATTCATGTATTTTGCTTGCAAATCTCAAACAAGGCTGATTATTTAAGTTGCTTTAGCTTGCCTACAGTTGATACACATCTGCAACCCCACTCTACAAGATCTTCTCATTTTAATCCGGTACCCGACTTAATCAGCGTCATATCTGTTGTCACGGATGCTTTTCCACGTATCCTCACAGAAGTGTGGATACCAGAGCCGTACCACCAAATATACCGCTGGTGAACATTCTGCTTTTGATTCTAAAGGCCATGACTGTAATTTCCTGAACAGGGACAGCCTTTCTAGAAGCAGGTGAAAATGTTGAGATGTTTTTATGATTGCTGAAGTATCCTAACCTGAGAGCAGGGTGAAGGTTACAGAGTAGATGCCATTCTCCTTAGTGGCAGCTGTGCTCTCTGTGTAGGTGATATCCACCTGAAATTTCACCGGCTTCTGGAAGACTGTGGGGCCGGCTGTTGACTTGTACTCTGCTCGAAAAGAGGTCTGAGAGATGACACTGTGGCTCAGGCTGGGAATCTGTGGGGGCAAAAAAGGAATCGTGAAAAGAAAATGTCAGAAAGAGGAAAAAAAAACAGGAATAAAAATAGGTAGCACAAAGACACAAGTAATGGGATTATGCATAGGAATCACTGATGTTAAATTTTTCTCCCACACCTTGCAAATGACAAGGTGAATAAACCCTCATTAAAATACCCTCCACATAGTACGAGCCACATTTGAAACTCTAAGGAGATTAATGCCTCGGGGAGTAGCCATGCATGCCAGAGAGACTTAAGCTAATGTAATCTTGAGTCATCCAACAACATTGCACTCTCCCGCCTAAAATGAATTTGTATGCCCAATGAACAGGTGAGCCCTGAAATTGTCACGTTTTGCCATAGTGCTAGAGAGGGTTTGACATTCCATTAATGCTAGAGTGCTGAGAGGTATAATTCCACTGATTCAGGTGCCAATCTCCTGTCTGGAATACCAGCTAGCATAACCCAAAGGAAAATGCTTCCTCCAGGGATGAGGAAACAGATTTGACATTGACCCGCACCGGCAGAGTTTGTACACTTAGACTTTGTTAAATCTAACTGGGGTGAGGATAGGTTCTGTTCAGTTATGTACTCTGAATATCAACGACCACTGCTTACTGTTTCTTGGTACTGATTCTGCTGCGCTTACTGAAAAAGCTAATGCTGCCTTACATTTCTGCATGTATTTGTAGAACCACGCAATAATAAAGCACAACACACACACAGACACACACACACGCAATCTACGCTTTTTCTCACCCTGCACATCTAAATATACAAACACACATGCTCAGAGCACTGTATTGAGGGCAGGACATCTATATGCTAATGACCAAAGCTCAGTGTTGATTTTCTATTGACCTCAAGTGGGTCCACAGTCAAAGAGAAAATAGAAGCGGTGAATACAAGCAGTTTACTGGATTGCTACATAAATCAGCACCATGTTAGCAAACACTCAGAGCATGCCTGCCTCGTAGCAGAGCCAACATCCTGCATTAGAGAGCAAATACCCAGGTGATACGGCTGCATTCATGCACAAACAGATACAGTGGCAGCAGATGGGAAAAGGGTCAGGGGTTCAGCAGAAGGGACAAAGGAAGAAATTAGCAAAAACGTGGTGTATCTACCGAGAGAAAGGCTTGAACGATGTCTGCCTTGATTGAGCTGAGAGGTTTGTCTTTGATGACAATGAAGATCTGTTCCTCTTTTTCCAGGTTGATGAAGTTACCAAACCAGGATTTTTTGGCAAGTCTGTGAGGAAAGAAAAGACATTTAGCAGAATATAAGCCCAATGTTGTACACATACATCTTTATACAGCTGACCATTTTTGCAACCTTGTTTTAGTTCCCTATCAGTCTATTGATTCTGAGAAACAACCACCTCCCCACAGTTCTGTAGGGATTCAAAGGAGCAAACAGAGGATGTTCCAGTGCATTGTGTATGAATGGATTTGAGGGGGGGTGGGGTGAGATAACTGAGTCTCTCTGTGAACAGAAGGAGCAGAGGTAGATGAATTTACTATTGGCCTCAGCCCAGGTGCACTTCCAACCACTAGTAAGCCATATGGACTCCTGTTTTCTGGCATTAATATTAGATATAAGATTTATAATATTTAGCATTACATTTAAATCAATATAAATACCTAGTAAAATATGGAAACAAATGTAGATTAGCCGAAAGAGATGCACTGTTCTGCAGTAGGAGACTGACTACAGCTCACGTGACTGTATACTTCGGGCTGAGCTAAAACAGGGTCTCTCTCTGATCAATTTTCCAACTTCTTTCAGTTGGGAAATTCCTATCTAGCCAGGTGGAAATGACCAACCCAGACAGCAACCAGCCAACCAAACAGGCATATCTAGGCCAACCTTGAGTTATCAGGCCCATGGGAACTCAAAAGCATCACGCAGGCTCGTCCTGCCTCCCTCATAACCCACTCACTACCTCCTGCTACTGTCCTCTTTCCAACTCAGACCAGACCGGAGGTCATTACAAGTCGACTCAGCAGGCAAAAATCAAACATTCATAGATGTTACACTTTCCAAAACATCATCCTATCGAGAGGGAGCCTGTTTGAGCCAGTGGCTAAGGGGCTGAGAGGTTATGCATAGTTGTGATAGCAGTGGTGCTTTCAAAATGGACAGCGTCTGCTTACTCTGGGGAAGACTCTGGTGTGAGGCTGGACATCTCCTCTTGTGTGGGAACTGTGGAAGCAGAGTTAGATGTCAGACGATTGAGAAAGACTAAAAATTGTCAAAAAGTATATTACGGTACAATGTACAGTAAAACTTTTGGGGAAAAACCAAGATTGTAGCATTAGTCAGCAATTTTTCATGTAAATTGGCTGAAATCTACCTTGGAGTTTCCTGCGATGGAAACGTGGTGAGCCCAGGAAGCTGTTCTTGATGGAGTTGAGGCGCGTCCTCCAAGGCATGCCTCCAATAGAGGGGCTTGGGGGCGGTGTTGGAGTAGGTGTCCCAGCTGGGCTGTCCTTGGGAGTGTGCACTGGGGTGCCCTTTGGGGTGGGGAGGGGGCTGCCTCGAGGGGAAGGGTGAGGGGTAACCTGTATGAGGGGGATAGATTTGGGTGGGTGGTCAGTAAATGGAGAAGGGGCTGGTGCTACAGGGTGAAAATGGTGCAGCCTGATTGGTGACAGGGGCAACACAGGGCTAAAGGGCACAGAGAGTTGGGGGTTGGCAGCATAATGAGCTCGTCGTACTTGGGGGCTGTTTAAGATGGTAGCACTGGCAATGGAGGATGAGGAAAACGGGGAGGATGGGGAAGATGGAGAAGTAGGGGTAGGAGGCACAGAGGCAGAGGGTGGCTGTGATGGAAGCTGGTAGGGAGTGGAGTATTCTGATTTGGCTGCAGGTTCTGGATCAAGGGTGGTTTCAGGAAGTGGGTTTGATCGTGTGGCTTGGAGGGGCTTTGGGACAGTTTTGGACTTGGCAGGGAGCGTCTGTGTCTTGTTGAGTGCTTCTGGCAGGGGCTCACTGTTTGGAGCGAGCGAATTGGGGGTGGAGATACGCTGGTCTGCGCGATTTGGAACGGGCTCAGGGGATGTACAGGGACTGGTGTTAGGGGACGGGGACAAGTCTGGGGACTGAGGTGGTACACCAAACTTTCTGACAGGCTAGATTAAAAGAATGACAAAGCCAAGAGGAAGAAGAGGTGTAAAACAAAAAGACAACAAAATAAACAAACAGAAAACACACACAAGAATGCATGCAAGTACACAAACACACAAAGCAAAGGAAAGGGAAGGGCAAACCACCACACAGGTAAAGGAAGAAGTAGCCAAAGGATTTGGAGGCAGGTAACAAGTGCACACACATAGGAAAGATGGAGGAATTGCAACAACAAAAAAGAGAGAAAGAAAACATGGTAAAGACCATTCAGTGACTCATGTCAAAGCAAAGCAAAACAAAAATGAAATGGGAATAACAATACCAGCAAACAATGTGCTCACTTTAAAAAAAATCCAAACAAAACACAAAAAGACAGACTTTATTTGCATAAAACATACAAGGCATTCCCAGCAGAGACAAGCAAGCAAACACAGACACACGAGAGAGACAAAAGGCCAATTGGGCTGTCTCAAAAACAAGTGGAAGGTGGCAACTCTGCAGTCAAATTTCCTGATTATTTATTGATGTACTGATTTTGCATGGTTCATTTGCACTCACACTGGTTCAATATTTGCCTTCAACACATTCCTGTCTTCCAGAAGCTAAGTCTGAGAAAATAACCCCACACAGAGCTTCTTGCTGAGAACACAATCCAGGCTTTGGGTGGGTTTGAGAAATCAATTTCCCTTTCAGATAAGCCTGCAAGAACCTGTGTGGTGAGGAGCTCGTCTTAGGATCCTGGCTAATCTGGAGCCTTCTCAGGTTAGTCAGCTGGAAAAGTTTACTACAAGCTCCCCAGCTTTGAGCAAAGGAAAGTGGGATTTTCTGAAGCATTCCCTGAGCTGGATTTCCAAAGAGCTCAGGCCATAGAAAACAGAGAGAAGGATAATAAGTGCAGAGGATGGAGAGAGAAGAGGCTTTGTGGGGTGGAGAAAGTTTTCTGTGCTGTCATGCCTCCTGTGTGCATTCAGCAGTGGGTTTTTACTTAGCATTAACAGAAACATCTAAGCTATATGGACACACAGGAAGCCCTGATATGATACAGTATATGAAAAGGTAATCAAAATGGACCTATACTTTCTCAAAACACAAAGGTAGATCCTTCAAGGCTGATAAATGTTTATATAACGGTAAAACAGATTGGTGGAAAAATATTGCTGTGCAGAGAAATATTGTTTTCTTTGTGTTTGTGTGTGTGTGTGTGTGTATGCTTCTTTCATGGTCAGAAAAAAGAATATTGCTTTATTTTCTATTGCTGACATAATATGACATCAATAAAATGTGATCAGCAGTAGTTGGTTGGCCATTATCCCAGAAGGTTAACAACTAGTTAGTTAAGAACTGGGTCAAGAGGTGTGTTTTATGTGTGTGCGTGTTTGGATGTGAATTGAGGATTACGACTCACCCGTGGGCTGCTGAGCGGGCTGGTGGAGAGACCAGAGGAGGCTCCACTAATAGACCGCGACCTGTGGTACAAACATGTGAGAACACACAGGAGAACAGTAATTTGTGGTATCAACACATGACCTGTTATGTGTTTGAATGAACACAGGTGGGGGTGAACGCTTGGTTACTTGTTACACGTTATTTAGAAAGTGGAGCAGCATATGGAGCTGTCATACTAAGCACACGGGTTACTATCAAGCCCCCTGCAAACACAACACCTACCACACAAATAGGGTACATGTATCACAACACAGTAACAGCACTGAGGTAAAAACTACTACTAGCAATTAATCTCACTCAAAAGTCAGTTTAACAGATATTGATTTGACAAATTTAAACTTCCCACACACTAGGACTCAATCTAGCTTTAAGCCACATTTAAAGTTTGATAATAAACCAATCATTCTGACTTCTTAAGCCTTTAGGCCATGAAACTATCTCGAGAGGGAGAATGAAGAGAGACATTTGGTTGAGCGCCATTTGTCATGTTTGTCTTTTCCCTCGCAGATGCCGTCAATAACCCCTATGAGCGGAGTCCTGTTCAGAAATGAACAATCACAGCACAATCTGTCTTCATCAAGCACGCACGTACACATCTACACACACAGACACACACGCACACCCAAAAACAACGCCTGTCAACACTTGGAAACACCAGCTGCTCACTGTCACAACACTGTTCTTTTTTGTCATTCAATCTAATCATACCCCTCTTCCTTCTCTCCCCCCACTTTCTCTTTTTATGTCAGCATGGGTGCATTTATTAATGTATGTCTGTAGCTATAGATCTTTTATCTCAGCTTGAATAAAGGAAGAGATAAAAAGCAGTGACTACTGCTTTTTAAACTACCTGATTGAAGAAGATCTCATGAACAAACTTGAGAAGAGACTGAGATCATTTAAAAGTAAAAAGGGAGGATGGATGGAAAAATAAAGAGTGTGTGGAGTAACAGGGCCATATGCTCACTTCTAATGCTGGAAGCATTCCCACAAGACCACACGGCATTCGAGGAGGCAAAAACTAAAAATGATTATGGCTATCAGCCTAAAAAATGATAATACTGTTATAACAACTGCAACAGCCATAATCATACTCCTGAGAGTAAACAAAGCAGAATAAGGAACATTAAAAGCTACCAAGAAAGTGAGGGAAATTTAGAAACACCCACTGGCGAGCTATTTTTATAAGTTTACCGCTCCCCTTCTACAAATTTATTTAGTGCACACATCCTTTTACACATGAGTAGGCGTGCCGAGACCATGCTGGCAAGGATTTCCTGTTTCATGGAACAACTGACTAGACAGTTGGTATCATTTCCATTTAAGTCCTACAATCCACTGAGACATGGCCGCAGTTGCTCACTGCAGCACTTGTGACCATGTAGCCAACTGAACTTCATTTAAACATGGCCAAAACACAACGTCCTCCGGCCATTATGAGCATATTGTTAGGAGCACTCTGCATCTGTTAGTGTTGGACCAGAAGGCCTATAAAGCTAATGTTGCAGATGGTTATGCTGTACAGTAATAGGCTGTCAGAGGCTCAACCTTGCTTCAGAGAGAGGATAAAATGTTGTTGTTCAGTGCTTTATTTATAGGGAACAGCATACACAAGGAGGGAGTCATTTATCATGTATCACAGAAACCACAAGCCCACATTATTAAACCTGCACTGGAGACAACATTGTAGCAAGCTAGCTACTCTACTCTCGAGCTACTCTGTGCTTGTGTGCTCACTATGTTTACATGCACATACAGTATCCTGGATTTATTTTTGGAATATTCTGGCTATGTAGCGCACATGTCAAGGCCATGCTGCAACAAATCTTGAACCCTCCCAGTTGACTGTTATTATAATTATTCTTTTAAATCATTTTTAGCGCTTTTTGCTTTGCCCTTGGACATCATTTGCAGTAAGCTGGCTACTGATTGGTTACCCCTCTTTGCTATAACATGTATTCTGTGGGTGTTATCACGTGAATTTCATTTAGCTTAGCTTGCTTTACTGTAGCTGCTTGTTGGTAGCTGTGAACATGGCAAATTTATCCTGATACTACAAGAGCCTCATCATTGCCAAGTCACTCAAAGGACTCCTCCCCTGACAGGTTACCTTCTTATCAAGGGAGGAATACTGACCAGCCTGATGCTGAACGTACCAATTCCAAGAAATCTTACAGCTAAATATTCCAGGGCCAAGATCACTGATAAAGGGGTTCCTTTTCAGCAATATATCCAGTAGCACAGTAAATTCTCTAGATTTACTGGGTCAGTTTGGCCTCTCTTATATTCTGCCATTCTGTTCTTAGCTGCTGGGTGACAAGGCGAGAGAAGAGAGTCATCTTTCCAATGCTGACAACAACCCACTAAGCTTCCCGCTGTGTCTACAATCAGAAGTTGTAACTACAACTATGGATCTCTGACTTTGTCTTGAGTACAGGAAGCTGATGGCATCGTTCCCAGTAAAGTGCATGTTCACTGTCATGACTATCAATGGACCCGTACATCAAGAGCTAGAGTCATAACTAATGTTACTCTTTTCTGCTCAGATACAAACTTGATAAATGTGGAATGTGAAGACTTAATACCCAGACTTTTGTGTCTGTGTAAGAATATTGGTGCATGCAGTGTTTAACAGAGACATGGTCTCTGGAAATACCCATTGCTATTTGTGGACAATAATACGGCACATGTACTGAACTAGAAGATGTTTTTCTTTTCTTTTTTGGGTTGTTGTTGATGCAATTTTGATACCTATTATGGTAGTTCTCTTATCTAGTAGTCATTAATTCCCATAAGCCTATTTTCAAACAGGACCCATGTCCTCAGTATGTGACCGCCAGTTGTCAGAAACCCATCCAAAGCGCCTGGGGAACTAACGTGTGGCTGCGGGGGGGTGGAACAAGTATAACAGATTCTGGGTTGAAGGCATGGACTGAAATAAAACAAAATGCAAGAAAAATAAAATGGATGGTGCCAAGAGCCAAACAGAAAATGAACAACACTGCCAAAGCCAAAGCACAATACGACTGAGATACATATTCCCTTTCTAGCACCTCTATATTGGCTGCTTCTTACCAATGGGCCTCTTTTTACACATAGCAAGTATTCATATAAATCCACAAACTGTTTGAAATCATTTGCTTCTTTGAACCTCAACAAGTCCCTGCAGACTCAGTGCATTAATATTTACAGCTCAGTTCCTTAAATGTCTAAATATAGCAAGACCTCTGCAGTTTCTGTAGTAAAGATCACAGTTTAAGGTGTTTTATTTGTGCTTATTGTAGTCTCTTAAATAAATTAATGTCAGTAATTAGCAGGCGAGCTGACTTCTTACGACTGCTCTGACTACTCCACATTCAAACTGCGTGAAGCAACTAGAGCAAATCTCTAATAAAAAAAAAATCAATTGATATTCTCTCCTCCTCGCTGCAGCACTTTTCCATATTTCATTTACATATCATTAACCTCCCTTCATTTCTCCTGGCGTGTTGTTAAGATTTAAAATTAAATCAGTGGATTTCTTATGCTTTGAGTTAAGCTTTAAATGTCTTTTTAAGTGACATTTTTGCATAGAAAGATTGAAACGGACATTCACATGAGAAAGTCTCCATGTGCATTACTGCACAACATAGCTACCGCACCTTTATTCCAACATCCGTACTTCATAGGAGCAATCGAATTAACAATCATTTGTATGAAACTAAAGTGAGGGCTGATACTCTGAATGTAACTACGTGATAAATGAGAGGCAAAATGCCTGATAAAGGACAGGAATTCAGACATTTTTGTTATGCAATTTCAGATCAAGCTGTTTCCCCCTCTCTTTCACTATTTACGCTGGTGGAAATGTATCCTGTCAAAACACATGTTTCAAAGTCAGTCCGCTCTCTGAGGCCCTCTGATCTGAAGTTCTATGAATCTTCTGCGCTGTCGACAAAAGTTTGCTGTTGAGGAAAGATAAGGTTAGGTTCAGACAAAGTCACTTAATAAATCTTTGGACGTTATTCTGCTACGTACGCGCTTCCCCAGCACCATCGTCTATCCACGCACATGCAAGCAAGCACATGATCAAACACAGTGTGCACAAGGACGTGATAAAAGCCAGAAAAGTTTGAAAAACACACACAAGCGCACACACCAAAATCAAGATTCACACAGACTTTGTTACTAACTTCTTTTCCCCCTACTGATCAGATGGATAGTTATGGATTGCAGTAGGGGGGAAAGACATGTATAACAGGAGAGCAAGATTTGATTTGATTTGGAGGCAGAGGGCCTGTGGCATACCTACAATCTACCACAGCCGATAGGAAGGCAGACAGAGAAAAACTAGCAGCATGTCCTCATTAGCATAGCAATTCCATACTAACAGAGGGGGGTGTTTGGGATTGAAGGTCAGCAGCACACAAGGAACCCACAGGAAAGATAGAGACAGTGGCGATATACAAGAGTGGCGCGGTGCCCTGGAAGAAATTTGGGTATAGGGAAAAGAGCAAACAAACTGATCTGAAGCTGTATTGAAGAAAGATGCAGCAGAGCTGTTTTTGTTGACTGGAGCTGCTGATATGCAAGTTTGAGACGCAAACGTTGTCCTCATAAAATCGACTTTTAGAGCCCCTTTCTAATTCACACTATTCAAGATGTGTGTCATCACCAATCGAATTAATGTTAGCAGGCTATTATTAATGGTTTATCCAGTCAGTGCAAACTGACCTTTTTTGGGATTCTAGTTATGACTTGAAATGAGATGAGTCAGAGTGAAGGGCAGAAAAAGGCAGCTACTAAACTAAGACAACCTTTAAATAAAGAAGAGATAAGACATGGGCCGCCTGAAGGGATGAAGAGACACAGCAGAAGTGAAGAAACAAAAGAGGATGAATCTTAAACTAGAATTTGGAGGCACCAGCAGACAGAAGGAACAAAAGCACACATGTTTAGAAGTGGGAGCTCTTGAAACGGATTCAAAACTTCTCAAGTGGGTTCCCTCGGTGAAATGGTACGAATCAAATTCTTGATATTTTGTTGTTGGCAAAGCACTATGGAGAAAAGTTATTAATGCACCTGACATTTGAAGAACTTAACTTTAGGACTGCATTTTTTATTCTATATAATAAATGCACTCCCCACCTCTCCATTTATGCTCTGTATCTCTGAAAGCTTTTTCCAGCACTCTGCCAATCTGACTATCATTAGGCAGATCAGGTTATCATCCCCTCAGATTCAATCTTCCCCGCTGTCACAAATGTCACTGCCTCTGAGCACAAATGTGTGGTGTGGCGATATATTGGTTGTTCAAATAAGATGAAGAGAAGGATTTTAAATCAGTCCGCTGTGCCTTGTGGGGGTGTGGTTCCGGCTTGACTTGAGCATTTCTAAAATAGAGAAATGGAAAATTGTTCTGCAACTAGAGAAAGTGGGACACAGCATAGGAGAAGTGATTATCAGTGCATTCAGATTACGAAACGAAGAGATAATTGAGCTAACGGCAGAATGAAGGGGTGGGGGTAGAAATATTTAGCCTCTGAATTGCAAATGCAGTTTTCCCTGGTTTGAGATGAAACTTAATTAAAAGAGTTAAGTTAAACTTCAGAAGAGAAGCGTTAGTGTTACTTCACGCCGACTACAGAGTCAAGCTCAGACAATTCCGGTTCAGCTGGGCTCAATACAAGTTGACATCAGCTGATAGCTCAGCTCGCCTACCTACACATGCAATTAGCAAACCTCATACAGGGTGTGCTATTTAGGCTGCTGTAAACGGGCTAAACCCCAGCCTATGCTTTCAGTCTCATATCTCGTAACTGCCTCTGTTTTTGCACCTATGTGTAAGGAGCCATGCATACTGTGGATTAAATAACTATCTAAACTGCTACTAAACTACAAGACATGTGAAGCAACCACAACAAGCAACATATGCCATCATCATTTAAAAACAAAGATTTGACTAGAAAAAGCCATGCTGCATCTTTCTTTTGCCTGAATAAGTGAGACAGAGAGGGGAGAGGTAAAAGCGTGAGGGGTGAGTGGCAAATGAGTACCTTTCTTCTTTGCTGCATTTTGTACTGGCATCAGGAATATCCAAGCTTTTACTGTAAACTGATTTACTAGTGAGACAGGAGATAAAGTGAGCAGAGAGTCAGTCTCTGTTTATGTTTGTCTACAATGCAGCCTGCTGACACTGGATCCAGACTCACTGTCAGAGCTGTAAAAACACCACAGGGCTGCTAGATCCTCCTCACACACAAACGCAGGACAAGGTCTGTCTTTACTGGTTCATTTAAAAAGGTATTGATTTTTAAAAGAGAGAGTTTTTCTCCTCACTTCTGCGCGTACCTTTGTCCATGCTGTGTCATATCGATAGCCCTCCTGGCCGGGACAGGTGAGCCTCCGTCCGTGACACTGAGGACCTCCATGGACTTCCTCTCTGGTCTCCTCTTGCCATGACGATTCAACATGGGAGAGTCCACTCTCTTCCTCGGAGGATCTGTGTGTGACAGAAAAAGACATGGTGATTTGGAATAAATGCAAAGCACCAGACACGTGTCCATGTTACTGCGAGTATATCTATGTGCTGCTCAGTTTTGTGTATATGTGAGGGTTTGAGTGATGTTTAGGGCTGATCGCAATGACATTTTAACTAATAGTGAATAAGTAATGGTTTCCTCCCAGACCTTGAACTAATGGCCACTGTATTGACTGTATCACATTCACTGAAGAGGGAGTCTATTCATCAAGATGTCGGTATCTCAGAGCAGTTACTCACATACACACATTTGCACGTAATACTCCTGTTTCAGTGTTCTTGTCAGAAAATAACCCTGGCAGACGTCTAAGCAGAGCATCTCCGTCTCTACTCAGACTTCTGTGGGTGGAAATCTGTGCTTGGTTGCGGTGTACGGATGATAGAATATCTTTTCTTTTTTTGAAGAGTTAATATCTGAGCCAAAGCAGTTGGGGGGGTGACTGTTTTTTAAAAATAAAAAAAAACTTCTCTGCCCTATTGACACCTTCTATTTCTGCTACTACATTTCATTGAAAAGCTTATTTATTTTCAATAAGCAGAATGCTTTTTTTACTGCAGAGCCAATCCACCGCTACTGGAGCCGATCCAATTTCTTCTTAACAGAGGAAAACACTGCAGAATCGTTCAGAAACTGGGAGCATTCATGAGTTACCTTTTTGTAGTGCTTAGTATTGTGCAAATTGGATGGTTTTGTTTGTGTAAACAGATGACTAGTTTTAAAAAATCATTAAAAAACAGGCACGATTCTTACATGGTGGTACAGTTCATACGTACTGTGTGTCATATTGTGGTTTAGCTTTCTGAGTTGTTCTTTTTTAAAAGAATATCATTTTCTAATGTTACACTCTTTATGAACAATTCTCTCGTTGTTCCAGGGCTCACCAATCTCATTGCGAGGGGGAAGATTCTGGTCCTCCTGACTAGGGTACCTCTCCTTTCGATCCAATAGCAAGAAGTAGATCATCTTCTCTTGGTTGTCACTGCAAAAAGGTGGCAGTAAAAAGACTCTTGAAATGTCAGGAAAAGTAAAAATACTTAATTAATTCCTACACAACCATGCGTATAATTAGATACCTAGGGTGTGTAGGGGGAAAAAAAGTACTCATACCATATCAAACTGTAAAATCCCTCACTATGATTAATGTTCTATAATGTTTTGAGATTCTTTGTGAAGCACCGATAAATATCTCTCATCATTAAAACAAAAGTTTAGTTTTACAGATCATTAAGCCGTCGTGTAATAATATGCATGCATTTTTTAAGACGCGGCACATCTCTATATGCAGAGTCGACTGGTAAGTTTATGAAAGTCTCAAAACATTACGAGTTCAACCTTTTCTTTCTCAGTAAATCAGGAAGCCTAATATCTTTAGCCTCTAGGCCAATATTCTCTATGCAAAATTCCCAGGGACTGGCCCTCTATAATAAAGACAGATTGGAAAGCAGTAGGAGGCAAAGAGACAAGGACCTGCAACTTCAGCTAAAATGAAACAGGGGAAGGGAGATAGAGACCACAGATTTTCCTCCAGTCCAGCACTATTACGAGATCCTCCCAGGAGAAAGGAAGAAAATGGAAGGGATGGGTAGAGGGCACAGTGATGGAGTAATGCTTGCTTAGCATTAAAGTGGAGAGGATAGGCAAATGTAAAGTAGTGGTAAAGGAGGAAAAGGAAACAAAGAAAAACTGCAACATCTGCACACACATTGATAACAAACAACTGTATGAAAGTCAAGGACAGCACACACACACACACACACACAGTAGAGAAAAATATTAGAAACTGCAACTGAGACACAAATATTAAAAGCAGAACAACAACAATTTGACCCATGAGCATGTTCACAGTGGAAACCAGGATCAGTTTAAAGGGAATGTATCTGGTGGCAAACGGTGTAAGCGCTGTGTGATAACAATTAAGTGATCTATGGCTTCTGACATCTAAAGCAACAGCCTAGCAGGATTTTACAGGAGCTGGGGAAAACCAAGGCTGAGTGAGCACACAGACACAACACACCTATCCTTTCATTGCAGTGCTCTCTTCTTTTATCAAAACAACCACCAATCCCCATTCTCTTTTTTCTCCTTCGTACTACTGTCTGCTGTACAGCCATTTACTCACTCATCTGAGAGCAGGTCTTTCAGTAATTTGTTTTTGTCTCTGAAGCAGCCCAAAGAGTGCATGCTGTCCAGTACGTCGGGATCGATATCTTCTGCAGAGGGCAGGCTGCGGATGGTCACCTTCCTGGGAACTGGCTGCTCTGGCTCTGGTTCATTTTTGCCTCCTCTGTTAATACAAAGACATTCAAAAAGAAATAAGGACAATATCAGTGGGTTTGGTTGCTACTGCTACTAATTTTCAGTAATTTAATTTGGTTTTTGGTTTTTTCATATAGAAACTTGCATTTGGAACACAATTGTGTAAAATCGTAGATGTACAAACTTTAATATGACCTTTTGTGTCAGTATGACTTTAGTTTATATTAAGAGACTTTTAAAGTCACAGGTTTTCCTCAGGTGTAGGCACTTTTGCATGTTCCAGAGGGTGATTGTGTCAGCAGGATTCAGGCAGATGACTTAGTCATGCTGTTATATTCAGCAACCTGCCTCTTCTACTCTGGCGTGATTTCTAAATGTAGTTTCTTCATTATTATTATTATTAGATTAATTTATGTCACCTTTGTCTGCTGTTTTTTTTACATGCACACACACATTTATATTCTTTAGGGCTGAAATAAAACGTTATACTGCACAGTCCATTTTCACAAAGATTTCTATAATATTCTAGATGTTTCTTTCACACACAAATCTACTACTTCTGGAAATGCGCCAATGCTTAGAAGTTATTACAGAGACAGATTTGAACTCACACACTTCCACTTTTTACCTCCCTAAATCTATTATTTTTCCTTCAGTGAACCCAGTGAAGCATAAACCTCACTGGCAGCTATTGAAATGACACAGACCTCCACTTTTCTATATGCTGTGAACTTGTGAACCAGACCTACATTGATTGTTCACCCCACATAACCACCAACACTCCTGTTTCAGTATGTGCATATAAATTCGGGTGGTAAGGGTAATGAAAAAGAAATCTAAATATATAACAGTCCAACTTCAATAAATCAAGTCTTCACGAGGACTTATAATGCCGACCCACGGGTGAAACTGTTACTTAAGTTTTGATTTATATGGAAAGCCGGTGAGGTCATAATTCGCTGCATTCTCCCTGCTATTCAATGTTTTATTATCACCAGCTGGCTGACTCTTCTGGCAAAATAAACAATCCCCTCAAAACAGGTTTATCTGTGCTCAAAAATCAAACATTTCTTTCTTTTTAACATCCCACAGTTAGAAAAAATGAAAGCACCACTAAGCGTACTTTAGACAGACGTCAAAACATGAAAATCCGTGGTCATATCATATGGCTCCAGAAAAAACAAATCATCCACAACTAAGGAACATGGTTTAAATAGTCCATTTACCCTTTTTTCCATTTTAACTGCTTATCCAATTTGGGTTCAAAGAGAGTACACCATACTGCATACGGCAAGTACCATGTATGTCATGCAGTCCTCCCCCTCCACCATATCTTGACCTCATCCAGGTTGTCCCGGGCATCTTGTCCAAAATCTCTACCAGCCATTTGCTCACTGTGCACCATCACCCTCGCCAGCATCTTAATGCCTCCTACCTTCATGTGTGATTCTGAGGTTCCTTCTCATTAGCCTCATTTGCCTGTCTGTACCCAGCACACAGGCTCTGACATGACTTTAGATTCCTTCTGAAATGGTACTGTGTATGCTTACTAGGCAGAGTTTGGGGCCGTGGTCAGTGGCGGAAAGGTTGGAATTGTTGATTCTATCAAAGTTGGCATTGTCTCCACTTTCGGTGATTTGTTGGAAAGTTCTCCTTCTGAGGAAGTCATATTTTGTACTGTGAGATCTTTTTTTGGTTGGTTGGTTTCCTTTTTATTTTTTCCCTTTTTAAAAAAAACATGTTTACTGTTACGCGCACACTGTTATGCTGTAGAGAAGTTGGTGAGAGGTTATTTTTCCCTCTCTCGCTTTTATTTTTATTTAGACAACAATTAGTCCAGTCACTTCGGTGAATCATTTTTGCTACTTTGGGGGTACACTGCTGTCTCCTTTGTTCTGTTCTGTGGAGACTTGGGGGTGTATTTGTGTTCAGGGTTGGGTGGGGTGGGGGCTGCTCTTCATGGCCACTGGCATTTTGGTTTGGTCTTTTTCCTCTTCCTTTTGTAAATGGTTAATGGAAATATAGACCCCAGCATTGCTGGGTCAGGTATGCCTCTTAGATTCATTAGTTGGAATATCAGAGGTATGGGTAACCCTGTTAAGAGATCTAAGGTTTTTACTCACTTGAAACGTCTAAATTCTGACATAGCATTTTTACAGGAGACTCATCTTCGCATTAAGGATCATTATAGGTTATATTGCCCTTGGGTAGGTCAGGTCTTTCACTCAAATTTTAATTCGAAGGCTAGAGGAGTGGCCATTCTCATTAATAAGAAAGTTCAATTCACTTTGACCAATGTTGTCGCTGATAGGAACGGTAGATACATCATTGTTGCTGGTACCCTAATGCAGAAAAAGGTTTTGTTGGTAAATGTATATGCCCCGAATTTTGATGATGCTGAATTCGCTAATAGATTGCTGAGTAACATCCCCTTTCTGAATACACATTTGCTTATCCTTGGTGGTGATCTGAATTGTGTTTTTGATCCAATTTTGGATCGATCTAGTCCTCGTAATTTGACTCAATCATCTATGTCTAAAACATTCTCAGATTTTATGAAACAGAATGATCTTGTTGATCCATGGAGATTTCGCAACCCTTCAATCAAAAAATTTTCATTCTTCTCTCAGGTCCACCAGTCTTATTCCAGGATTGATTATTTTTTCATCGACAGAACTCTTAATTCATGTGTTAATTCTTCCGACTATTCTGGTATTGTAATATCTGATCATTCTCCTCTGCTATTGGATGTTCATCTTTCTACCCATAAACGTAGCCCTCCACTTTGGAGATTTAACTCTCTCCTTCTGGCGGATAAAGAATTTTGTGAATTTATTTCAGGCTCTATTGAGGAGTTCTTGTCCTTCAATCAGGATGATTCTGTTTCATATTCTCTGCTATGGGAGACTCTTAAATGCTACCTGAGAGGTCAAGTTATTTCTTACTCTGTCCGTGCTAATAAAAAGATTAATGCCAGGCTTAAAGAACTTATAGCTGCAATTAGTAACCTTGATCAAAGTTATACACTGAACCCTTCTCCAGAATTACTGAAGCAGCGCCTTGATTTGCAAGCAGAATTTGATCTTATGTCAACCAAAGAGGCTGAGCGCTTATTACTACACAGTCGTGGCTCATATTACGAATATGGTGACAAGGCTAGTCGCTCGTTGGCACATCAGTTACGACGTCAGGCCTCCTCGCGTGTGATCCCCATTATTAAACACTCTGATGACAATATTACTACAGATCCCTTGGAAATTAATTCTACCTTTAAAACATTTTACTCTTTGTTGTACAGGTCCGAATTTCCCACGGATAAAGCTAAAATGAATGCATTTCTTCATAATCTTTCAAACCCTGTTATTGGTGCTATTGATGCGGGGCAATTGGACTCCCCATTATCTGTTGAAGAAGTATTAAAAGCTATTACAGCTATGCAGTCTAATAAAGCCCGGGCCCGGATGGGTTTCCAATTGAATTCTATAAAACATTTATTGGTAAATTGGCACCATTGCTTTTGTCTGTGTTTAACGAATCCTTGGAAACGGGTTCATTACCACCTACTTTCACACAAGCAACCATAGCGCTCCTTCTCAAAAATGACAAGGACCCAACCTCCTGTGGTTCCTACAGGCCATTATCTCTGCTTAATGCCGATGCAAAGGTATTGGCTAAAGTAATTTCATCTCGCCTTGAGGATGTGCTTCCTCGAATTATATCTGAAGAGCAGAATGGCTTTATAAAGGGACGGCAATTGTTTTTTAATACCCGTACACTCTTTAATGTTATTTACTCAAAGCGTCTATCTGAACTTCCTGAACTTGTGATTTCTTTAGATGCTGAAAAGGCTTTCGATAGGGTGGAGTGGGAGTACTTGTTTGCAGTTTTAGAGAAATTTGGTTTTGGTGATAAATTTATTTCCTGGATTCGGCTTCTTTATTCGTCCCCTAAAGCCAGTGTTCATACTAATGATGTTTACTCTGATTATTTTGCGCTGGGTCGTGGTTGTCGTCAAGGTTGCCCTTTGTCTCCCTTACTCTTTGCCATTGCCATCGAGCCTCTGTCTATTACATTGCGATCTTCTTCTGTATTCAGGGGAATCATCCGTAATGGAATTACACATAAAGTATCATTGTATGCGGATGACTTGTTATTATATATGACTGACCCCGCATGTTCCATCCCTGCTGTTTTAAGTATTCTGGAGAACTTCAGTTCGTTTTCAGGTTATAAATTGAATTTGGGGAAAAGTGAGTGTTTTCCTGTTAATACGGCAGCACGTCAACTTCAACAGTCCGATCTACCCTTTCGTCTCAGTCTGTCTGGGTTTAAGTACTTAGGGATTAACGTGACTCGCTCTCTAGCTGGCCTTAAATCAGCAAATTTGTCTCCTCTTATATCTAGGGTCACATCTGATATTCAAAGATGGGGTAATCTCCCCCTTTCTTTAATTGGTAAGATTAACGTTGTTAAAATGAACATCTTACCAAAATTTTTATTTTTATTTCAGTCAATTCCCTTATTTTTGCCGAAACATTTTTTTGTTTCACTGGACAAGATTATTGGTTCTTTCATTTGGGGAGGGAAGCCACCTAGGGTCTCTAAAACTTTGCTGCAGCGATGCAGATTTAGTGGAGGACTTGCATTACCTAATTTTTAGTCTATTACTGGGCCGCTCACATCCATAAACTTTGCTACTGGCTAAAATCTTCTGGTTCCTCGTGGTGTAAATTGGAGCTATCATCATGTAAGGGCTCTTCTTTACCGGCTTTGCTCTATTCCTCTTTACCCGTGAGACCCTCTCTGTACACTGATAATCAGGTGGTTCTTAACACACTCAAAATCTGGTTTCAGTTTAGACGTCACTTTAATTTTGTAATGCCGTCTTCCTCGGGTCCTCTAAGCGAAAACCATTTGTTTCCCCTTCACTTTTGGACTCGACATTTTCAGTGTGGTGTGACAAGGGTATAAAACAGTTCAAACATTTATATGTGGATGGTGTTTCGATAGTTTTCCCAACTTGTCTTCTCGTTACAATCTCCCTGTTACCCATTTGTTTCGCTATTTTCAAATTCGAAATTTTGTTGCTAAGTGTTTCCCAATTTCCCCTCTTTACCTCCAGAACAGCAGTGGGAAACTACGTTATCATTTGTTCCTCATCACAGAGGAACCATTTCGAAACTCTATGATGCTATTCTGTCTTTTAGTAACCACTCTAATGTTAAGCTTAAGCGTACATGGGAAGAAGAACTGGGATTTCGAATACATGAGGAGTCTTGGGAACGGGCTATAACGAGGATACGATCTTCCACCTCCTGTGCTCGTCTTGGACTTATTCAATTTAAGGTCATACACAGGGTGCATTTCTCTAAGTCTAGACTTTCTGAATTGTATCCAGAAGTGGAAAATAAATGTGATAAATGCCATGGTTCTCCTTGTCACCTTAGCCACATGTTTTTTCTGTGCCCTGAGCTACAAGGTTTCTGGACAAGGTATTTTGCTATTATGTCAACTGTTCTTGGGGTAACTCTTCATCCTTGTCCTCTGATTGCTGTGTTTGGGATTCCTGCTCGCTCACTTACACTTGATTCCACACAAAGGGATATTATAGCCTTCACATCCCTATTAGCGAGACGTCTAATATTGTTGCATTGGAAGTCTGCTAAGTATCCTACTATTTCCCGGTGGCTTAAAGATGTCATGTTTTTTTTAAAACTTGAAAAAATTAAATATACGTTGAGAGGTTGCACAGCCAAATTTTTTCACAAGTGGCAACCCTTTATCTCTTATTTTGCTAGTCTAGAGGTATTGCCTGTTTAAATCTACTTTTGTTACTGTTATATTCCTCTAATATGTTTGATGGTTGTGTTGATCTGTGTGGGACTGGGGGGGGGGGGGGGCGTTGTGTTTTGTTTTTATATATATATATATGTGTATATATATGTATATATATATGTATATATATATGTGTATGTGTATATATGTATATGTGTATATGTATGTATGTATATGTGTATGTGTATATGTATATATGTATATATGTATGTATGTATGTGTGTATGTATGTGTGTATGTATATATGCATGTATATGTATGTGTATGTATATATATGTATATATGTATATATGTATGTGTGTATATGTATATGTATATATATGTATATATGTGTATATATATATATATATATATATATATGTGTGTATATGTGTATGTATGTATATATGTATATATATATATGTATGTATATATGTGTGTATATGTGTATATATATGTATATATATATATATATATGTTAATTTACTTAGGAAAATTAAGAAAGGTTGATTGTATTTCGGTAACTGCAAGTACTGTTTTCTTTTTTCAATAAAAATATTTTCAAAAAAAAAAAAAAGTTGGCATTGTCTCCAATTCTGTTTTTCTGCATTTCAGTGCATTTTTATCAAGGATAATGTCAACAATATGAGCCCCTTTCTGTCAGAACATAAGAAGCACATAAGAGCCATCCTTGGTCTGCATTCAGCCATGAAACCATACATGAGCTACATGCATGATCACTGGCTTTTACATTTTGTCTGTCTTGCCTAATTTTCATTCTTTGAATGCAAGTTGTATTTATTTAGGTGAAAATTGTTTCATTTATTGCTAAAAGAGTGACTGATTCAATAAAGATCTTAAGGACACTAACCATTTGGTTCAGTAAACAGGAATAAGTTCTTTAGAAATTGAAAAAAGTGAAAAATGCTTAATATCAGAGAGAATAAGATGATTTTTAACTTTGCCAGCTTTTCACAGTTTGTACTTCATGGCAATTTTTTATGGCTGTAGTTTGCCGAGGTTGAATTATACTAATGTTTCTGCAACTGTTTATATAAACAATCAGTTTTACAACCTTTCTTATATAGGACTTAACTGTTTTCGTGGGACACTTAGTTTCAGAAAGTTAACTAAACTATCTGTTTGGCCTGGCACTGCGTTCTTCATCATCACAGCTCCAGGCAAGTGTGCTGAAAGATTGTTGGAACAATCACCATCTAAAAATACAGGGTTGATGGCTTTATTCAATTTTGTGTCAAAAGTTTTTCTTTTTGTGATTTTGACATGTTTTTTTATTTTATTTTATTATGTTTTTACATCACAGATGAGTTGCCTGTGGAAAATGACCACATTTGTCAGACAAATGTCACCTCTCATTCATTCATTTATAAGTTCATTCATTCAGCCAGTCACTTGACAAGCCAGCCTGCCGTGCAGAGACAGATAGCATGGCAACTTCCTCACTGACAAAACTCATACTACATTAGTCTTCTTGCCTAGCTCTTGTCTCCTCTTGTTTCTTATATCAGTCTTCCTGTGTTTACATGATCTTTCAGTACAGGACAGAAACCATAACTCAGCCCCTTCCAAGATGCAGACTCTCCTCTGATGATTCATCGTTGGTATTGCATTGCCAAAAGCAATCCTCAAACCTACTGGTAAATGTTTTTAATACTTAACAAAACACTTGTAAATTATTAAAATCTATTATAAGAACACTGTTATGAGAAAAATAAATAAATCTCATGATAATGGAGAGCATATTTGAAGACGTAAACACTTTAAATCGTGGATACAGATAAGTAGGATGCTCAAAGACACCCCCTTAAAAACTGATTTTCTCTTCTATTGAATGGTGTTGTTATTAAGTCAAGACCTACAGGGCTTTATACACCTTCACACATTAAGATCATGGATGACAAGGAGGTTAAGTAAATTCTTCCACTTGATCACTTTTCACTTTAATGAAGTAGTGTAAATTTAAAAACAGTGTAATTTTCAAAAGAGACTGACCGCACACAAAAAAAGTTTGTGGAACTACAGTGAAACAGAGACAGTTGTTTGAATGATGTTTCAGGAAAAGCCAATGTTGTCAAATTATAGCAAATCTACTGATCGATAATGGCCAAACCGGTAACGACTAGGCCCCTTTTTGAATAATGTGCTCTGGATGGAAAGCTATAAGATAGAGACACAACTGGAGCCTTTAGTAGAAGAGCCTCATGCATACTCTATTTGTGTATTCATATCTCTAGCATTTATTAATTTGTTTTCCCAGTTAATAAACTCGTTTATTTACAAGTGTACAATAAATTATCTCAAAATATTTGTTAGCCTAAAAAGGTGGGTACACCCCTTTCGACATGTCAAACGCTGGGTACACTGAGGTTAGCTGGGTTCAGTCTAGTCTTCATCATCTCGGTTCCTGCTGCCCTGCTCTCTGTTCAGCTGACCATATGCCTCACATCCTCTTTCACGCACTACCAATTTACCCCCACAGCCTGGAGTCGTGCCCTGCTTAAATGTACTCTTGTGTACAGAGCTGGAACTCAAAGTCATTTTTCATGTGCCAGCTCCCTTCAGGTTTACAAGCCCTGCAGAATAGCTGAAGGGAGGACAGGAGTGTAAACATAAAGAAAACAAAACAAAACAGAGGACTACTTACATGTACCATGTGTGCTTCTGGATCTGTTCTAACTGGAGAAGTAATGAGAAAAGAAAAAATGAAGATCAGTTCACAAAATGCAATTCACTGGAAAATAGTATCATGTTGTTGACAAGAGAATAAAACGATAAACGAAGGTATAGAAATTGTTGGCACATTACAACGCCAGTAAGTATTGAACTTACGAAGTTTCAAGGAAATAAAACAGAGACAATACAGGCAGGTTAAGGTGTGGAAGTAAATAATGAGACCTTCAAATGTTAAGACTGCCAATGGAAAAAAAACATATTGAGGAAAAGGAGAGAAAGGTTCAGCAAAGGCAAAAAGAGGAAGGTGATACAACTGAGCTAAACACAGAGAATATTATCTCCCTCACACATGCAGCTAGGGCTGCCACAAACGATTATTTTGATAGTCGACTAGTCACCGAGTATTTATGCGATTAGTCGACTAATCAGATCATCATCCACTGGACGTAAAACTACAGCTTATTGCACCAGCAGCATCTGCTCTTATATAACTATCATTAGCTTACAGCTTTAAGCTTTTAAGGTGCTAACTAAAAATAAAGACAAGATGATAGTTTATTCAATTTTAATGAAATTTGCAGATTGTTTCGGTGAAGTTTAATAAACTCCTTGCTATCTAAAATATAACAGGACAACGGAGTATATTCTCCAGCATCTCACACTTCTGATAATCAGCTGTCTGCTTGATGTTTATTCAGCTGTGTAAAAACTATAACTTTAATCTCAGACAAACCGATTTACTCAGGAACAAATAAAATACTCAAAAAAAAAAAAAAGCCAAACAACAACATTTTTAATTTATCTAAGTGACTCATATATATTTAACCTGAGTAGCGAAAGACAGCGGTGGGTTTGAAAACAATTTGCCGGGAGTCCGGTGTTCTCACCGCGCTAGTGACCTAGCCCCCGGCTAGCTATCAAGCTAGTGGGTAACAGACGTCTCCGAAAACGTCAGAGCGCTTCTGAAAATATGTGGTGTCCTGATAAACTGAGCCGATATTTGAGGTTTACACAGCTACATTCTCGCCTGAAAATATGTTAAACGTTTATTTTGTGACCCAGAAAGAATAATAAGAGTAATATTAAAACTAACTAGCTGCCGCCATTGTTGGAAACTAAGCTGGGCCGCGCTATGAATTCTGGGACACAGCTGCTTCTTCTTCTTCTTCTTCGGGGTTTAACGGCAGCTGACATCCTTGTACATGCAGTGCTGCCATCTTCTGTTTCAGTCCGTTATTACACTCTTAAATCCTGCTACTTATTCCTGCGTCTTTTGGGATCTTACAAAGCTTCAAACGACGCGTAATCAGTCGTCGACGATTTTGATAGTCGACGTAATCGTGACTAGTCGACAAATCGTGGCAGCCCTACATGCAGCTGACCCTGCCAAGCCCTCTGGTCTGAAGGGAATCTCCTATTCTCATCCTCTTCCCATTTCACTGACTCACACACTCACTTTTTTTAATACTACCCTTGTCATCGCACATCTAGAGTGGCCACTTTGTCACCAACCCTGTCAGCGTAGTCTTTTGTCAAAAAAGGAAAAGCAGAAAGAGAGGAACAGCGGGCAAAATAGCAACAAAGGAAGATGTCTGCTAGAATGAATCCACGGTGTTTCAACTGCCCACAGAAGGAAAGCGGATCAATGTCACTGCTGGGACTTTTTAATTTGCTCAAGCTGTTGTTGTGGAACCACAGGAGATACACATGACAGCTCTAATTATTGTCACTTATTCAGATGCATAGTTCTCGTGTCAGTGTCTCCATCAATGTCTTGATGTTACCACTTCCCTAGAGAATTTACCTCTGTGCTTCAGCACCGATGCATGCCTTCCTGAGATGTTAGTGCAATCACAGAGCCGAGAAGACTGTGGTTACTGACTATAGGTGACTCTACCACAGAGGTCGTGATATTGACAAGGACACCCTGCCAGTCAGATAGAGACTAGTGGGTGACCTACTCTGTCCGACTTTTATTGAAGGCCTGGAGGCAAGAGTCTGGTATCTCACACAGGGTTGAAAGTGATGTGGTTTGAAACGTAGAATCACATCAATCAGTTTCTAAATGTGTCACTACTGATTCCAGCTGCTTTCAGGCAGAAGAGATGCTGTATAATACTGGCTGAGAATGTTCTGTCCACATCGAGGTGTATATTTATCAAGGTGCTGCATATGTGATTCTCAGCTTACTTGTGTTTGTAGGTCTGTAAGCAGAAAGAGAACAGTCACATGGCTGTTCAGTGGAGGAAGGACCACAATCTGTGTTTACAGTAGAGACTTACTCTGTTGTTTCAAGTCATAATATACAGAAACACAAAGTCAGATGTATAAGTATTTGGAAACTGTGTAACTGAAAGATGTGCTTGAAGTTAAAACTTTCAGCTGTGATTCAAGGGATTTAACAAAAGATTTAATCCTTCTAGTTTCACAGGCTCCAAACTAATTGCATAATTTAATGATAAGCAGTCGTGTTACGGCCATGAATCAAAGAATTCCAGCTGAATGTTTTTAGCAACAAAATTACCAAGGTTGTGTCACTGCCTAAATACTTACAGACTTTATTCAATTAAATAGACAGTTAAGAACAGCTTTTACACAATGAACAAACATTGAATTAACCTCCTAAGACCCAAACTCTTTCATGGCATGCATTTTTAATTTCTCTTTGCTATTTGGGGCGACTGGGACCTGATGAATGTAAAAAGAAAGAATTACGTAGAATATATAAAACATATAATATGTACGTCCTGCTCGTACTCGATTGAACCCCATGTGACCGATGGAAATGTTCTAACTATTCATGAGATAGATTCTGCAAGGTGCCCGAAACTTGCATCGGAGATTTTGGTTCATGTTGCTGCACATCCTTGATGTGGGTTTCCTGTTCCACTAAATTCCAAAGTTGATCTCTTGGATTGAGATCTGTAAACTATGGAGGCCATTTGTGTACGGTGAACTCGTTGCCATGTTCAAGTAACCAGTTTGAGATTATTTTAGATGATGATTAGCTCTCTGACGAGGCACATTATCCTGCTGGAGGCAGCCATTGAAAAAAGGGCGCACCGTGGTCATGAAGGGACAGACGTGGTCAACATCAATATTCAGGTAGGCTGCGCCGTTTTAGATATGCTCACTTGGTGCTAAACAGTCCAAAGTGTGCCAACTGCCTGAACTGTTGATACAAAGTAGGGGGTCTATTTATGCTTTCATGTTTTTCATCCAAATATTGCATCAGAAATGGAGACTAATATATTATAAAAATATTCAATTTTCCAATTTTGGTGAGCTAATGCTATTTGTAGCCTTGGTTTCTCTGTTCTTAGCTGACAGGAGCAGTCCCTGGTCTATTCTTCAGCTGCTGTTGCAAATCTGCTCCAAGATCTGACGTGTTGTGGTTTTAACAAGTGGTTATCCCAGCATTTCAACAGTGTGTGAAATCACCTTTCTTCCCATTCTGATGCTTTTTTTTTTTTACTTTAGCAGGTTGTCTTGACAATTTCTGCTGCCATGTGATTGGCTGAGTAGCTGTTCATATTAAAAAGCAGCTGAACATTAGGCTTAAGAAGAAGAGATGTTCTTTTCCTCCACATGAATGCTAAACCCCATTTTCTTCAGCTTTACTCTTACTGTAGTCATTGCAGTCTTTGTAATTGCTGAGAGAGCAGTAACAGAAGGATCGGTAAGTATTTCAGATTCCGAGATAACCCTTGCCAATTTTGGCAAGTCTTTAAAAGATTACATTGGCCTAAAAACAATTGTCATCATTAAAACAAAGTGTTTCAGTCCACTTCTAGAAAGGTTCTGGTGTCTCTTACAAAAAACAAAACACCTTCTTTATTTCCATCTAGGAACTTTGCTCTTTATTATAGTAATCTAGTCAATTCTCTGTATTACTCAGGTACCATGAGGAGGCAGATCTTTCCACGGTGTCTTTTATAATTTGAATACTGAAGATGAGATGATTGCGCTGAGGTGGTTGGCTTAGTTGCCTCTGGGTCCCTGACTGCACAGACAGGAAATGGAGAGAAAGGCTTTTATTGGCCTAAGCCCCTTAATCCCAGGTACGTGCCCTCCCACTCAAACTCTGAGGAGGCCTTGACTTTGTGTGTTTACTTGTGTGCGTCTGCTTACAAACCTAATTAACAGAAGGTGACAATACACCTACTGAAACACAGCCCGTATTTAGAGTCTGATTGCCCCATTGATTTGATTCAGCAAACATTATTATGGAAATAATCCCACATAAGTGAATGTCATATTCCATTATGATGTCATTTTTGCCCCTCAGTGTACCTGGCTCAGGTCTGACTAGCGGTCACTATAAACTCCACGAATGCTCGATCTAACGAGGATATTTGACATTCCTCGAGGTTACAACACATCCCCTGAGCTCTGTGTGGAGTCCTGATGCAAGAGAGGAGCAGACAGGTAGCATATTCTCTCCCAGCAGCATGGTCTGCATGTAACCCTTTGACTAGGACATTGCTGGAGGCTGGTGGACATATCTAGGGAATCTCAGGGTGACCTGTCCTCATCAGACAGAGGGACCAGAAAAATAAATAATATAGTGTGCATAGTGCATAATAAAAAGGTTTGATCTTTCTGTTTCTTGTTTCAATACAAATGAGCATCCTGCATATGAACATCTCTTTTCATGTCGGTTTCTAAACTTTATTTTTCTGCTGCTACTCCTGCCGCTGTTTTTCACATTCCTGTTACTTTACTCTTACTCATTCTGACACGGTTTGAGATGATTTAATGCATAAAGAAATGGAGCAGCAACATTCGCCAAGGGTGGTGTCATCACCACCCTTGGCGAGTGTTGCTGGCAAGTGCATGAAAATAGTTTTGTTTGATGCACTGATTCACAGAGATACCTGGAGAAGCTGTGTGCATACAGTAAAAATGAGGATGTGATTAAATACAGTAACTTGCAGACTGGATGTAGCTTTGTGCACTGTTCTGAATGTGAAATGCAGGATAACAAAGAAGGGCTCCACTGTCTCTCTGGTAAACATGTCCGTTTTTTAGTTCTTTCATTATTTACATTCGTCTATCTCTCTCAACCCGACACTCCGTCCTTTATATCTCTGTTCTTGCTCTCTAATCCGGTTACCTTGCCAAGGTGATCAGTGTGCGGTACACAAGCAACACTCCTCTCCTGAATCCACACAATGTACTTGAACTTACACAGAACTGGGAATGATACAAACACATTTGTATCAAGAAAGAACAACAGCACCAAACTGATACTATATATTTTAGTTTAAGTTAGTTGATCTTACTCTTACTCCACATCTGTCCAAATATTTTCCAGGAATAGTTTCTTGAATTATGTATAAAATTAATTTGTAGTTTCTAAAATGTAATTAGTAAACACTGTTGGTAGTAAATATTAACTACGAAATATTTTTTGCTGATAGACTGTACTGTTTAAGTTCTAGGTACTATACGAATACTGAATTAAACTAGATAAAAGTAGAACCTTCTTCACTCCATTTGTGGGGCAGGTTATTGCACCCATCTTGGAGAACTTTCAAAAGCTGTTCAGTGGAAATATGCTGTCTCATTTGCATCCGTCTTTTAATGTAGTCCTAGGCAGACTCGGTGATGTTGACATGATAATAGGACATTATGTTGATGCTGAGGACTCTGCAAAGCCATGTTATCTGTTGCAGAAGTTCCTCTTCTTATTGAAGATTGCTCTTTATGATTCTGTCTGTACTGTATGTCTGGGCTTGCTGCAATGCTAACAATCTTAACTTCTAAAATGCCCCTAAAACCTCTGCACCATATTAGATTTCATGTCCCTTTTATTCCCTATGCATAAAGAGGTAAGGTTGCAAAGTGTACTGAGTACTTTTATGTGCATAAAAGATATGCACAAATACACACAATTCTGAGTTAACACCGAGTCTCTTTACTGAACTGACCGTTAATCTTTTGGAGGCATCCACTTCAATCATGCCACGGAGAAGGTTCTGACAATCTGGAGGGATGAAGTGTGGCATGTGAAACACACCCAGCTTCACCTTCTCCAAAAGATTCCTTAAGTTGTCATCATCAAACGGTAGGGCGCCCTGAAGAAACATAAAGGCAGAGAAAAGAGAAAAGAAAAGAGACTGAAATGATAGTTGGCAGACGTGACAAGTAGGAGCAGGGAACTAAGTAGAGAAGAAAGAATTTGCGCTTAATACAACAGCAGCATTATGACAGAGAAAATGATTTTAACTGACTGAAGTCACAAAAGAAAAAAAAGATTATTAATGACTAACAAGACTCGCTAGAAGAAACAAAAACACATTTCGAATCTTAATCCTGCACGACTTAAAAATTCAGCTTGCTTTCGCAACTCATTCAACTCTTCAGTTGGAGCATTTTGCCCTAAACAGCAACGCTAAATAAATAATAAACAGCAGTGAGCTGAAAACAGGGCTTCGCTAATAATTACCCAGATTTCTCATTTACCTCATTCATTTAGAATTCTTTCATAAGAGTCATTTATCAGAGGGTGCTGACACCTCACAGATGTAGCAATTTGATGAATGGCAACCTCAATCACAAGAGAAGATGGAGGGGTGGAGAAAGATGGAAAGGGTGAGGAAAATACAGAAAGAGCTGCTGAGAAATAAAGAGGAAGGAAAAAGGAAGGTAGACTTGTGTAACAGATGATCTGAGTGCAGCCTAACTCCTGTGGAGTATGCGTGTCTCCCACAATCAGACAAATGGTTATCTCGCGGCTAGTCAGCAGGACGAAACTGAAGAGAGACAGCATTTTTCTGCAGTCAAGCAGCAGAGGCGGAAAAAAAACTTTTGTTTGGAGCGAGAAAAGCGTGGTCATGATGGAGATAATGGTAAGCAACATCAGTTTTATGCAACACAACAGTACTAAGTATACTATCCTTAAAACAAGTGCACACACACATAAGACAGACAGAGTGGAGGGAGAGAGCGGCAAAAACAAAGACAAATACACAGGGCCTGTGGCCAAAAGCTGCCCTGTCAGCATTGGTATTTATTTTAGGCTCTTGTCTTTCAGTTTGGCTGTATGAATTATTCATGCAGCTGGAGTGTGTAGGAACTACAGTACAGCTGTTGATGAAACAAAGCTTCGGGGCTGCATGGCTGGGGAACCACAGACATAATGCAGCTAGAGAATAGACCTGATTATGGATACAGCGTCGTCTGTGGGTACAGGATAATGAATAAAAAGATGCTTCTTTTCTCTGATCTTCTGTAGCACAACTATATCAGCTAGAGGGTGTTTCTGCAACATTTAGGGTTTTTTTCATTTAAATGACAGAATTTGAATTTAACTCCTTAACACCTGAGTTTATGTCAGAGGCTCCGTGGTGAGTTTAGGCTAGCACTCTCTTTTTATTTCTCAAGCTTCACTTGCGTTCTTTATTTATTCACTACGATGCAAAGGCTAGACTTACTCCTGGATATGACACAAAAGCAACACTTCATGGCAAAATTGTATTACGCAATATGCCTCTAGAGATGTTAAACTGGGTGTCAGTATAATATTAACATCATTTACTGAAGAACAAGCTGACACTCACCACCAACAGAGCAAAAAGAATGACCCCACAGCTCCAGACGTCTGCTTTCCTCCCGTCATACTTCTCTCCCTAAGGGCAAAACATTGTATTAGACAAGTTTAGACTGAACGTTAAGGCCAACTGAAACAAGACGGAGGATGACTAAAAATAAGTTAGCACAGGAGGAATGAATATTGTGATTCTGTGAGTAGTCACTTACCCTGATGACCTCTGGACATGCGTAGTGTGGAGATCTGTTGGAAAAGGAGCAAACAGATACAGAAGGTTCAAGTTATCTAAGGACTTTTTTCCGTTGTGCTGCAGAGTAAATAAAAGTTCACAACAGATAAAACAAACAAGCATAAGTCACTGTCTGAAAATATGAAGACAACAATTTATGCAGACAGTAAAACTCTCCAGCGAACGTAGATCAAGATGTGTTTTAGGAGTTTAGGGGTCCTGAGAGTGTTTGGATGTCCTCTGCCTTGCTCAGTCAAGGGCATCCTCTCACAGCAGACGGTGAACAGACCCACTAATCTTTACAGCCCCTGGATAGACTGACAGTAAAGCCAATGACTAGATTGACATATCAATATCATATGAAGATTTATGGAGCTACCTTGCAAAGACCCCTCCATAAGCACAGGTCTATGGATGAGTGCATCATATGGGTGACTTGTTACTCTATATATTAATTCTTCTCACTGTTTGACATTCCTATATTTTTAAGGTATTCTCTGGAAATCAATTAATCAGATAAAAAACTTAATTTCTTTGCTCCTCAAAACAAATCACCTGTCTCCCTAGACCTCCTACCATTATGAAATGTGTTGTCCACCTCTTTGTCTCACTCTGTTTAATGGCATAGCATTTGGGTTGACTGAGGGACTACGTAGTTTGTAAACAGCCTTTAGATTGGCTTTTTTCTTGTGCACTCAAGAATACCAGCTCTGACAGCCCAGCTTATTCAGACTGTCAAAATACTGGCCAAAAACAAACACGGCTACCGTGCCAACTCGGGATCTCCAAGTGCCTGTGCAAATAAGTACTTGATGACTTTTCTTCAAAGAAAAAACCCATCAGCTCTGCACTCATTTTACTTCATGAAGGCCACAACACACAAGGCATGCAAAACCTATAGCTTTATCCCATTTAGGTCATTCCTTGTCAGTTCATCAAATGCCACACGTTCCCCTACAGCTTTGGTTTCGACAGGACTTCAAATCTACTGTCAAAGACTGGGAATGCAAATATTTTATTTCTTCAAGCATCCACCATTCTATGCCACACTCTTTACAGCCTATATTCACAGAGCCATAGTAGCAGATAATGACACAGAAAAAAATACGGAACTTCACGTGTAAAAACATACCTAACCTTCATCCATTGGGACACTTAAATCAAAAAAACCAAACCAACAGAAATGCGAAATTTTAGCATTTTTTCAGGCAAATTTGTGAGAGTGAGGTGGGAGTTTTTTGTTTGTTTTCTGTACAGTTTCTTTTGTGTTACATTTCATGAATTCAGATGGGTTCAGATGAACTGACCCACATATAAGAGGTGGAAGTAGCCAATAGGTCAAATAGCTGAAGCCAATGCATCGGTACTTTAAAGCGCAGTACCACTGGTGGTTGCTACAAAAAAGGATCCATGTAGTCCTTTTATAACAAAAAAAAAGAGGTAAGTCAGTAAAACGCTTCATGTTATTAGGATTTTTTGATCAAAATTTTTTAAAGTAAATGTATTACTCTTTTATCTAACGAAAATGTTTAATGTATTCATCCTCTAAAGGTGCGGCCACTTTTGGTATGCCTTAGGAACACCGGGTCTAGGATGAGCTTTGTAGTGCTCACTTTGAAACACTCAGTCCACTCATTATTTTATGTTTAGAAAGCCCCTTCTGCTATTATGATAACATTCTGACTTTTGAAAGGCTAACCTAGTTCAGCTGCAATGTTTCCCACTATCACAGCTCTATTTAGTAAGTAATTTGCTGCCAGCGACTCGCAGCACAAGCTTAACTACACCAGGTATACAGTGTTTCATTAAGTTAACAACCATTCAATGACACGATAAAATCCATCCGAGTACGCTTCAGTGAACAAGCCAGTTAACGGGGTCAATGCTGCAAAGTTCCTTTCACATTTGATTGCGGATCAAGTATGGGTGATATTGTAGAAACATCCATGCTGCTCACAGCAGGTTCAGGTTATATGGTGGGACACTAAAGATAAATAGAAAACCGTGAGAGCCACTTCCCACTGACCAGAAAAATATAGTCTTTAGAAAAACAGTTCAACATGGGTTTGGCATTACATCAGTCTTTTCTCTGTCTTTCTCAAACTAACACCACTAGCATCACATAAATAAAATCAACAGGCAGGAAAGGACTGTCTTCTATTTTCAGAGGGCAACAAATACCACAAAATTGATGCATAAAAAGTTGGCTTTATCTCATATATAGAGTTCATGAGTTGTAACTGTCTAGAGAGGGATTTCTGGACCTCTACAATACACAGTATACGGGATACATATGTATGAAGGGATGTATCGTGATCTTACGACAGAAGCATTGAAAGACGCGCTGAGACACTGAGACATAAAGCTGATCTTCATGAAAATTCATCTTTTTGGACTAAATCCGTGCACTTCCTCATTGCATATAAGATCATTTCCTTTCATCAATCTGTGCCATGGAATTATAGTAAATAAACAGTAAGCAGTGATGAACTCCCAGCTGGGTTTGTACAGACAGAGGAAGAGGTTGTATTTGCATCCCAGAATCCATATTTGAATATGCTTGCCAATGCATCTGCTATACATCTGTATGTCTGCACGTATTTATGTATGTGCTCTGAGGCTCCCACTACTCTACCTGGGGCAAGTTTCATCTTCACTCAGCTCCATTACCCACAGCAAATGGAATACATTTGTGTCAGACTGCTGCATGATGAGAAGGGGCCAGATAAATGTGTTTAATTAAAAAGTGTCATATCTACACTTAGAGACGGGACATTCAGAGGGGCATGAATAATCAATAACAACACACATACACACATATTAGGAAACAGCACGAAGACACGAAAACATTAATGGCGCCAACATTCTGCTATGAGACGTACATGCAAACAGACAAGATCTAATCAAGACTGTAAGGCTCGTGTTTTTGGTGCCGTAGGGTTGTTCAGATAGACACCTGATCTCTCTGTAAATGACAATGCTCAAAGTGATTGCCAATCAAGATGCTATTTGCTCGTTTTCTCGTTACTGTATCAAATTATTATCATTAGTAATAATGTAAAACTAATTTAATTTGCAAGCCATCATTTGCAACTCCAACACACATGGGAAGCCATATGCATACACAATACAAAAGCATGTCAATACATATCCACACACAAACATGGACACATGTGCAAACTTTGAAATTAATATGCAGATAGGAAGTGGCTAAATTTATTGATTGGAAAGAAAACAGTATTTCTCTCAATTGTCTTCTCATTTCCTGAAGGTGGTAGGTTCTGTGTTTGTGTCAGGGAAACAATTTAATGTAAGGGGCTGCTTTTATCTTCACTCTTCTCTCCTATATATTCCCTCCTCACAGATGTGGAGTCAGAGTGGAGGAGAGACAGATGCAGGGCACGCAATGTCAAATGACTTGATGACGACTTATGTTATTAGGAGCGCAATCAAGTGTTAATCTGTAAAAACAAAAAAATCGTGAACAGATGTGGGCCCCAACCAAACTGCGTGCATGCATTTGTTTCATGGACAGCTCTGTGTTCGTGCTTCCAACAGGGTACTTTCAGTACTTTATACATTTAAGAGGGCAAAGAATATTCATTCCACCTCTATCAAATTAAGGCTTGCTCCGAGTGAGTGGCAGCAGAATGGAATCAAATATAGATCAAGTTGGTCAAAAGATACTGCTGAGTAAGAGCTGCTGCATATAGGCTTTCTAGGAAAATAGAAAACTTTAATGTGGTCATCAAAGCTGAACAATGACTAAACGGTGGACACATCTGACTTGCAGATTGCTATGCGCACTGCTTTGAGTTGGCCTGATCTCTACCGATGAGTCATGAGAGCTTAGGCATTGTGCGACTGCTGAAAAAAAATTATGCAACAGTTTCAACTGGATGCATGTGTTTGCATGCACATGCACAATGAACGCGCATGTGTGTGTGTTATATAAAGGGAGGGAGTCAGAGACAGAGAGGCACCCAAACAAGCAGAGGACATAGGGACTTAGAGGTGGGGGATGAACTAAGCCTGTTCTGTGTGCGCATGTGTGTTGCTGTATTGCGTGTGTAAAGTGTGTGTAACTTCAGTTTCAGCTGATTTGGAGGCTTAATCTGGACAGAATCAATCTGAGCTGGGGACAGCTGTCACAGAGCATATATCCAGCCGTGCACAGAGTGTCATGTGCAAATGCAGAGGAAATATTTTCCCAAGACATCCACTTTACAAGCAAGATAACAACTTAGACCACTCAGTTTGAGCAAATTTGTGGAACCATTTCTAGAGTGTTATGGATGTCTGTCACAAGTGTGTGCAAGACTTTGAGCCAGCTCTGACATCAAAACATCATTACTTCCCTATCGAGTGCCTGCTTGTGTTCTATATATGTTTTAATAGGTGAACTATACCTACTTATCAAAACTCTATGTTATTTTACTCCATCACTAGACAATAAGATTTCATTATCTTGGGAAAATAATTGGAGATTATGTATCGGAATTTCAGGAGCAGGACCACGCCTCCAAACACGCTCCTTCCGGCTGTCATCTATATAGGTCCCCCTAGTTCTGCAAGCTGATCATTCTCGTTTACGTGCTCCACCCTCCCTCCGTCCTTCTTCTCCATTCTTCAACTTCTTCACTTCTGTTAAGTACATGGGGATCTGCCAGGCCCGGTAGCCATCGCCAGTCCCCTTCGAGGCCTTTGCCAAACCGCAGCTCAATTCACGTCAAAGCATTCACTTTTACCTACTAAAACGCTGTCAAACTTAAATGAGGACGTGGGCCCAGCTAGTGATAAAGAGAATAAAAATAACAATGCACTTCTATCATATTGGGTTGTGCTTACATATTCAAATCTTTTTGAAGTGAATTTAATGGAAGAGTGAAATGCTATAGTGCAGCAGTGAGGTGTTTCTGTTAATCCATGGTGTCACTGAGTTTATGACCCCAGTGCTTAAAAGTCATCATAAAGTGTGTTGCCTTTTATTGATAAATATGACCCTGCACAATGACCGCCACACCTTAGGGTTGAAGAAAATCACTCCCACAATAAAAGAGACCTCGGTCCTTTTTCGAGTGTAGTCCCACTTTAAAAGTGACTCTTCCTGCAAGCAAATTCATTAATGTCATGGGATTGATGTGCCTGGTGCGGTTGTGACTATTAGATCATAAACCCAGTGTGAAATATTAGAAGACGGGAGCAGTAATGTGTGGCCGTGGCCCTGGCCACGCTCATCGCCAGATACCACAGTCGGTGATAGACACTGAAAGTGTCTCCTGAAGAGATCAGCACAGCACGATTATGGGCACTTTGACAATGCTGCACCTAGCTGAGAGCCTGATGGCTCCACTCACTCCACTTAGTCTCTCTGAATTCTCCCCGTTTTCCTCTTCCATAGCAGCATTTCCACCTCCACTATGACCTTTTAATTACTCCCTCGGGACATCTGATATCTAATATCATTCAGTACATACAGACATTACATTTGTGATTCTACTTACCCACAGCTGGTTTCCAACAAACTATCGCCAACCTGAAGGGAAGCCATGCCAAAGTCTGCTATCCTGATGTTGTTCTTTTCATCTAGCAAGAGGTTCTCTGGCTTTAGATCCCTGTGACTGAAAGAAAATGAGATAGAAACATGCAGCAGTTAATGAAACGTGAAAAAGCTCATCATATTTAATAAAAGCAAGTGATACTGAGGAGAAACAAAAGGGGTCCTGAACGGTATATCAAACACCTGTACACCACACTTGGATCCATGCATGAACAAGACATAACAGTAACCAGCTATTGCTGCTACCATCATGCTCTTGGCAACACCTCTCTCCTTTGATCTGTCCAAGCTAAAACTAAGGGCTCCCACCTTGTAACTGCACTGGTAAAAGGTGTGAGAGCCCCCTGCTGTGTCCTTTTCTCCTTCTGTTTCCTTCTCTCTTTGTCCCTCAGCTCCTTCCTCTCATCTCCCAGACAGCCACCAGCAAACTGGCTGAGCAAAGGGCATCAAGGGGAGGCAACCGCAGAGGTGGTGTTCATTAGATGCCATTCAGTACCACTAAACACAGCAAGGGGGATAATATCCAGCAGACATAATCTCCCTACTTAAAAGGAGCCGTTGAGAGAAATAACTTTCTGTTGCTGACTCTGAGGTTAAGACCTCGATTTTGATGAGTGGCACTTCAAAGAGGAGTGGCGTTAGCATTTTATTGGATGTTTAACATCTCTTCCCGGGTTGAGGGTTCTATTACATCATACTGTACAGTTCTTGTGATGTCTGCCAATGCTGAAGAGGGTAGCACAGACATGTATATGTATGTGTATACGCTGACACTTACTTGGCTATCTTTTCTACAATCTTTATGTACTTCCTTAGTTTCCATTTTGCTTTAATAGGAGGTCTTGGGTATTGGAGAGCCCCAGAGTTATCTCGACTTTCATCTTCCTGCTACTCTAATGATAGAAAGGGGAGATAGAACAATAGCTGGATGTGACTGCCTTTGAAGAGTGCCTCATCACAATGGACATTTAACCTTAGATGACATCAGTTGCTGTAAAACTCGTTTCCTGTCCTGAGGGATTAACTGTCAGCTGGCTTGTTATCATCATCCTGGCAGTCTCTGTGATCTCAGCTATAATTGAAATAAAACATAGATAGCATCTAAAACAGTTCTCCCCAGGCTAAATCTTTCATCAATTCACACAACCATCATTTGACTGTGATGCAAGTAGCCTGAGAGTTTTAACTAGCACTGTCATGGGGAAGGAACAAACATTTACGAAACTGCTCCAGGGGCACCAATATGAGAGTGTCTGAACAGTGCATCTCCAAGGTGCATGCATGTGTCCCAACAGGTCAGAGCATTATTGTAAAGTGTTCAGAGTGGCTGTTGATTATATAATGATCATAGTGATATTTATGAATGTGTTAAAAGATTCATTAATATTGAAATAATGGACAAAGTCTCCTAGCTAAAAGACCAGGAGGAAACACTGTAAATTTTAAGGGAGATTAATGTCGTATTAGTCGTTTTTGTATTATTATTTTTGAGTGGAACAAAAAAAAGGAAAAGCCTGAAAAATTTGTGCACCAAAGATTTCAGCTCTCAGATTATTAATTAATTAGCTTATACATTTTTTAAAAGTAAGGTATCAGATCTCAGACCTTAAGTAGCCTGTGGGTGCTAAGGCTGAGTTTACAAAAACTCATCGCATATTTCCCAAAAATCATCCATCAAGGGTTCCTTTACCCACCTACCAGCTCACAAAGCAAGAGAATGGTAGAGCGAAGAGCAAAAGGAATACCAGTTCTGAAACCTACCATCACACAATCATGAAAAACACTAAAGATGAAAAGTGAATGACTTGTAAGACAGCATGGTGATCCTAAATACACCCCAAAATCCACAGCCCCTAGAGGTGCAAGCTCAAGTTTCAGCTACAGCCCACACATTCCCTAAAATCACTGAAAATCTTTGGATACACATTAAAAAGACCAGTGCATGCAAAACAACCCAGGAACCTCAAAGAGCCACACCTACACACCTAACAAATAAAAACTGATAGCATGTGAAGCGGCTCCAAAAGTCTTTATAAGCTGTGATACTTTCCAAAAGGTGTAAGCACAGACTATGCAGGGTGCTTTAATTTTTGCTTCTGGTCTTCTCCCTGAACTGTCTTCATCAGATGCAACAAAAATTAAGTTTGTCTCTTAAAGAGCACTAAACACGGCATAAAGAAAGTGCGTTGTCACAGGCCCATCACATGTAAAACAAACAGTCAACACTCAAGAGGTTGTTCCACAAAAAAAGGCAACAGCACATTTAAGCAGTGAACGTACCAGAGGAACAAATTGCATCTAAATGCTTTATTGGTTGTCAAGACCCTGGTATCTATAATGGGACATTAAACTGCCTCTCTGTCACATTAGACTGCACTTTGCTACTGTAATGCTGCTCACACAGCACACCTCACAGTAGGGATATTGTGTATGTCAAGTAAGGGTGGAGGCTGTTAAACAAATTCAACAATTGCAATGACCTTGAGTAGTTTTTCTTAAAAAGAATAGGAGTTGCATACCACTGGCTTGCTTGAGGAATCAAAGACAAAAAGAAAGAATACACTAGATGCCATGGATGCATATAGTTTTTGCAAAGGTCTATGAGAATTGTATAAATGCTGCTATGCTTGCTTTAAATGGATCATTTGAAAAGAACAGAAGAGAAAAATGAAAATGCCAAAGGGGGGTGCATAATTTAAAGTTTAGTACTGTCATCCATCATTTCCATGCAGTCTTGCCTTTGTAACACAAGCCTGTCAGTTCACTATGCACTATGCTCTGATGACGATTCCTTGTAATTTAAAGGTGATATGTATTTGTCTACAAAATCTACGTGTTATCTGAGCGAGGATTTTACCCCAAGGGGCTGTTGGACATGATTCTTGTAACCAAACAGCGTACGCCTAATTGCCTGTGATCATTTGCACATATTTTGCTGATATGTTGTGTTTTACAAGAGGTTGTAATGGCTTTGTCCTCTTGGGGCTCACATCACTATAATTTCTCAGACACGTTTATGGTGATGAGCAGTTTTATGACTAGTTTGGAGCTCAATGAAAATATACTTTTCTCATGCTGACACATTTGACATATACCATGTTTTAATGTCGCTTTTCATTAGGCCAGCTCACACCAAGAAATGTGGCTCTAATTGGAGCCACGAGAACACTTACAACTAACACTAATGGATCAAATGCATCTTTTTGACCTATTAACATGCCAGGAAAATGACTCACCTGTTTTTGAATTTTCATGAGGTACTACAGTTATCCTGGTGCAATACAGTGCACAGAGTGGGGTTTAAAACCACTGTTGAGAATCAAAATGCACCCATTCAGCCTTCGGCGCACCCTGGTGTCGTTCTCCTCTTTCTACCTTTCTGTTTTCCTCTCAAACTTTTTTAGGTTTCTGGTGACCCAATTTGAGAGAGACCAAGCACATTCACTTAGAGAAAGCTTTAGGCTAATATTGTATGGAATTAGAAAAAGAGGACAACTCTGACTGCTGACTTGAATTTGCTAAGCAAAATCCTTCATTAGCCAGTGGAGTTAATTATGTATTCAGAGCAATGAGGGACGAGAAAGATAAAAATGCATTTTTAAATTTTTTTCAGTAATGTAGTTGCATTGCAGCTTAAACAAGTGAAAAAATAGTTATGTTTGCATCAGCTACACACTGCTTAATAGCGCAAGAAATCATTTAGAGCCTTCATCAAAGTCAAAGTATTTAAATATTTTCAAATTTATTTGATAAAGATAAAAAAAGGTGATGCTTCTGTCCAGACTGAGTGAATGACAGTAGACTGGGGGAATTAATTATTTGATCCCCTGCTGAATTTGTGATATTGAGCACCTACAAATAAATGAACAGTCTCTAATCTTTATGTTACTTATATCGAGCCAGAACACTGAAGCTAGGTTGTGGATGGGTCTTTCAGCATGACAATGACCCAAAACATACCGCCGAGCAATGTTTCCTCTAAGCTGCGCGCGTGCGCAATTGCGCACTGCTGGCACGGTCTGTGCGCACATAAAATCTGCGTTGCGCACAAAAAAAATCTAACCTGAATTGAAATTAAAATTAAAACTTTAACAATTCTGTTTTGTTAAAGAATTGGAGAAAAACAAACCTCCAGGTTCATTATGACATTTATAAAGAGAAACTTCACAATTATAATTTACAACTGAGGAGTGGAAGGAGGTCCTACTTCTCTGACATCATCACTAAAAACAGCCATAATGCTCGGGTCTTATTTTCTACAGTTGACAGGCTAACAAACCCTCCTGTGTCAGTGGCAGCTGAACTTCATTCAACCATGGCCTGCAATGACTTTGCCAAATTCTTCACAGAAAAAATCCAAAAAATTAGACAAGCAATTGGTACATCAACAGCAGATCCAGGATATGTACTGTGTCCACCAAAAAACTGTTTAAACACCATGAAACAGTTTCAACCTATTAACAGCAAAGACCTGGAGGACATCTTAGGTCAACTGAACTCCTCCTCCTGCTGTTTAGATGTCCTGCCAACAAGTTTTTTCAAAAAGGTCTCAAAGACTTTAGAGTCAGACCTGTTACAGATCGTCAACTTTTCTTTAATGTCAGGTGTGTTTCCAGAATCACTAAAAACTGCTGTAATCAAACCTATACTGAAAAAGGACAATCTTGACAAGACACAAATGAACAACTACAGGCCGATCTCAAATCTCCCATTTTTAAGTAAGATCATTGAAAAAGCAGTTTCTCAACAGCTCAGTTACTTCTTAAAACAGAATAATTGCTACGATGCCTTCCAGTCAGGTTTTAGACAGAACCACAGCACTGAAACCACTCTGACCAAAGTGTTTAATGACATATGTCTGAATACAGACAGTGGAAAAATGTCAGTCCTAGTTTTACTGGATCTCAGTGCAGCATTTGATACAGTTGACCACAACATATTACTCAAACGACTGGAGAACTGGACAGGTCTTTCAGGAACTGTACTAAACTGGTTCAAAACATACTTAGAAAACAGGAAATACTTTGTATCAATAGGTAACTTCACATCTGAGCAGACAAG